CCAAAGCAAGCACACGCAGCCATTTAGCTCCATGAAATGAACACAAGTTGTCAGAGTTGAGAGCACGAAGAATTGGCAGGGACTCGAAGGAATGGGTCCCGCATGTTGTTCTGGCAATTGGACAGTATCCATTTAAATTGAAATGTCCTACCATTTGACAAAGCAATTTCCTGTGGTAGAGAGAGAGGGAGAGAGGGGGACGCGGGGGGGGGGGGGGGAGGGAGAGAGGGGGAGAGGGGGAGAGGGGGATAGAGAGAAAGAGAGAGAGAGGGGGAGCGCCTTGCAAGGGTACACAGCAGGGCACATGCAAAATCATGTCCATCGCAAAAGGCCCGTCAGCAGGTGTTGGAGATGGATGTGGGCTTTGGGAGGGAGTAGAGTGGGGCGAGGCCATGAGGGTGGGGCCCTGGCAGTGGAATCAGCGCCCTCAGGAGAAGAGACACCGGAAAGCCCTCGTTGTGCCTCTCCGTCGTGTGAGGCGGCCGGCGGGGAGGTGGCTCTCTGCCTCTAGCAGGAGGGCCTCCCAGACCCTGAGGCAGCCGCACCATGACCTTGGAGCTCACCGCCCCAGGACTGTGGGAAGTCAGTGTCTGTTGTTGTAGCCGTGCAGTCGGCAGTATTTTCTCACGGCACGAGCTGACGACGATGGTCTCCCTCCAAGGGCTCTGTTATCCTAGGCCCGTGTGTCCGTCACCCAAGAACCTGTACACTCAGCCCCGAACGTCCCTGCCCACCACATCCTCCCGCCACCCAGGGGGCCTGACCACAACCTCCTGCCACCAGCACTTTCCCCGAAGGAGCAAGAGGAAACGAAACAGGACGTGGCCAAATGCTTTGCTGGGTGGGAGCAGAGGGAAAGCCATGCACTGACAGCCGTGACATGGATGCCCAGTATAATCACCAAAGTAATACCTGCTCTTCTAAAAACCCAGACGGCATGGAAAGTCAAAAGGACACGAATAAAAGGAAACATTCCCTCCTGGCCACGTTGCCACCTCATGCTTCAGTGCCTCTCTCCACAGGTCCCCAGCATGGTGAGCTAACAGGGCCAGCTCCAGGCCATTGTCCGGTGGTATCTGTGTGTGTGTGTACACATGGGTATACACACATGTAGGCTTTTTTTTTTTAAACAATCGTGTTATTCAGCAACTGGCTTGATTTTATTTAAAACAACACGATGGGGACATATCTCCGCAATATCGCTCACGGATTTCTCCCCTCCGCTCTAACAACGGCACCGAGTTCCATATCACGATGCTTCAAAACTTATTTAATAATTTCCTTTTGGCCCGGCCGGCATGGCTTGGTGGTTGAGCTTTGACCTATGAACCGGGAGGTCACGGTTCGATTCCCAGTCAGGGCACATGCCCAGGTTGCGGGCTTGATTCCCAGTCGGGGGTGTGTGGGAGGCAGCCGATTAATGATTCTCTCTCATTGATGTTTCTAGCTCTCTCTCCCTCTCCCCTCCTCTCTGAAATCAATAAAAAAATATATTTGAAGAAGTAATATCCCTTTGCATGAACATGAAACATTTCCCTTTTGTTTCTGTATTACAGATAATGGTTCAGTGACCATTCTCACTCCTCGGCATTTGTCTAGGTGTCGGAGTATTGGCTTAGTCAGCTCAGGCTGCCCAGACAAAGCGGCACGGACCGGTGGCTTACCCAGCAGCACTCATCTCCCACGGATGTGGCGCTGGAGTCCGAGCCCCGGGCCCAGCTCGGCCGGGTCCTGGCGAGAGCTCTCGTCCGGCTGCAGGGGGCTGCCCTCTTCCTGTGTCCTCCCCGTGGAGAGAGGGGCTCTGCTCTCTTCCTCTTCTTATAAGGACTCTAACCCCCCCTGGGGTCCCAGCTCAGGAGCTCATGGAACCCTAATTCCTCCAAAGCCCCACCTCCTAACACCATCACATGGGGGTTCGGGCTTCGACAAATTTAAGGGGAGACACGTTCGGTCACTGACAATGTCTTATTAGGTGATGTGTCCCAGGGGAACTGCCATGTCAGGGGCACACGTGTTTAACCGTTTGATTGTCATACAAACAGTCTGTGACTCTCCCTACTCCCCCGGAACGTATGGTGGAGAGGGGTTCTTGCTCAGGTTCACGGCCTCTTCTCGATAGTGAGTGTGGCCGAACACATAGGTTCCTAAGTGTGATTAGTCATTTGCATTTTCCACCATCTGCTCACTGATATGCTTATAAGGTGTTTAAGTTCTTTTATGGATCCAATGGAATTCTTCATATTTTAGGACATTAATAATCCTTGACGTATCTCAAAATTTATCTCCTAATATGAATTTGGACTTAAAAACAACAACACACCCGTTTAGTTATTTTTTCTTATAATCCCCCCCAAATAATGTTGGTGGCCACATTGCCAATCGTCTCCTCTGAGCCTCTGGAGTTTCGTCATCATAGCATAGCCTCCCCATCCTCCGATCCAAAAAAGCTCAAGTCCATTTTCCCCCAAGATGCGGATGGTTTTGGTTTTTACGCCGAGATCTTTAGCGCACCTGGGATTGGCTTTGGGGTGCCATGTGAGATAGAGCTCTCACCCACGTGCAAATGCGTAGACGTTTTCTCCAGAATCACGTAACGGAGAGCCTCGCATTCCCCCACTTCCTGGAAACTGTCATTACCACTCGCTGCATTTCCACGCACACACGTGTCTGCTCCCACCTTCCCCGCGTTCCCATGAACGTTTCTCCGGGCCCACAGCGTGCTGCCAGCTCTCACTGCATCACGGTTTTACTCAGCGCTTCACATCCTCGATGTCATTCAGGCAGAAGGCGGCTGTGACCCAATGCTCTTTCCTGCTGTCGTGCACTTTCTGCGTTCCAAGTTCTAAGCCTAAAATGATGAGGTGACATTCTCATTGGGATCGCCTGGACTGTATGTGGTGGTGACGGGAGAGCTGGTGTTTTGACCAGGCCCAGGCTCCGTACCTGTGTATCCCTGACGTCTTCTCCTCCGCCCCTGCCAAGTGTCGGTTGTTCTTTGCATCCTGTTCACGCACATTTAAGTGGATGCCTCGCTGCTCTGTAGTTTCAGTTGCTATTTTAAACAGGATTTTTCTTCCTGACACCAACTAGTTAACGATGGGTGGTCCGCAGGAAAGCGACGGACTGCATTGGTATCCGGCCACCCTGCTGAATTGTTTTAACACTTTTTTTGACCCGCTGTTTCAGAGTCCCCAAAGTCCTGTGAAGGACCAGAGAGGGAGTATCTTCGGCTTTGCAGGTTCCGGGGTCCCTGCTGCCACCGCTCAGCTCCCCCCTGGACGGTGAGAGCATCACCCGCACACACAGGGGAGGAGAAGGCAGCTCCAGGCACAAACGCCAGCTGCTGGCTAGGCTTGGCGCGGGCACGGGACGGGGTCTGCTGACGATGCTCTAAGCTACAGACACGGACAGATGGCACATTTCCTTGTCTCCGAAGGAGTGGGCTTTGGAGGGCTGGTGGAAGTGGTACCAGGGACTCGGGGAGAGACCGGTGGGTGGGTGGGGCCGCGCCTCCCCTGGGCTCTGCTGCGTCCGCACCTTGAGGTGGGTGCGGCCCGGGGAGCCCGAGCTCGGGTGCAGGAGGCATAGCTTCCAGGAATGGGGTACAGGGCATGTTGCTGTTTCCTTTGCACCCGGTTTCCAGGATTTCTGGCTCAGTCTCGGGCGGGGAGAGGTTCGAGGCAGAACCTGCAGGATGCCAGCGTGTGGACATGGCTGTATGCCCGCCCCTCCCGCCCCCCCATGGGAGCAGAGGGTGAGCCCCACGGCACCCCTTTCCAAGCGATAAATGCACGCCCACAGGCTCTTGGCATTTCTTGTTGACCAATTCTGAGACCAGGGCACCATTCGGATAGGACTATTTGCTTTTCTACCCAAGTGTTTAACGTAGAGGGAGGACCCCGTGGCCTGGGGGAGGAGCCGGGACCCCACGAAGCCTGGAGAACTGCCTGAGGCCAGCACCGGGGGAACCCAGGCCCAGGCAGGAGGAACCCCGTCTCCGTCCCAGACCCCCCCACCCCTCCCATTCTCAGGAATCTCTCTCCTCACAGTGAGAGTTACTTTGGCAAGATTTGGCCCCGAAGCAACATTTCTTCCAGTCTTGGCCCCTCTGCACGGAGCAGCAGCTGGAGTGATGGGGGCAGAGGGAGAGGAGCGGGGCTGGTGCGTTCGCCTTGAGGTTGGGATCTTAGTCTCTCTTTTAAAATATATTTGTATTGATTTCAGAGAGGAAAGGAGAGGGAGAGAGAGAGAGAGAGAGAGAGAGAGAGAGAGAGAGAGACAGAGAGAGACAGAGAGAGAGAGGAACATCCATGATGAGAGAGAATCCTGGTTCGGCTGCCTCCTGCACACCCCCTATTGGGGATCGAGCCCGCAACCTGGGCATGTGCCCTTGACCGGAATCGAACCCGGGACCCTTCAGCACTTTGGTGGGCCAGTAGTGAAGTGTCTGAAATGAGACGCTACGGAAGAGTTCCCACCCACAGGAGTCACTGGTGGGCGAGGGGGAGGGAACCGTCCAGAAGTGAGGGGGAGGTGGTAACAGGGCCGCAGCGAGTCCGCCGCACCTGCGCCCAGGGCCGCGGGCATTAGTCACCCCCGAGCTGAATCCGGCGGGATCTCACCAACACTCCGCTCACCTGGGGTCTCAGGAAGCAGACCTGTGGCCACGGAATCCCCTGGGCTCTGCGGAGCCGGAGAAACTCGAAGGAATCTGAGGAGAGCTTTCGGGAGGTGTGCACAGGCGCGAAATGACCGTAGAATCAAGCGCTTGCATCAGAGTGCACTGCCCACAGCACGGCACCCGGAGGGACCCCCGCTGAGGGACCCCCACTGAGGGACCCCGTCCTGATCCCACCCCCACACGGAACCTCCGGGCATTCAGCTTCGACCAGGCCGCTGGGGTGTGGGCGGCGATAGGGAGGGAGGGTCGGGGTGGGAAGGGAGGGTGGGTTGGGAACTTCCTACGTTCTGCCCCGTTTTGCAGTGTTTCAACCTGACAATGCTCTAAAAATAAAGTTTATTAATGAACTTTAAAAAGTCATCAGGAAAGAACATCTACAGGAGGTCAGATAGGATCAATAACGAATATCAACATTGTTAGCCAGGAATACAGTATTATTCGTATAGGTACTTATGCATAGAGACAATGAATGGTGTACACCTAATTGCTAAATACTCGACACGCAGTCCATGAGTCCCGATCCCACGTGTACACCATAGCCCGGGAGGCTTGCGTTCCACGTGGACAAATACTGCTTTCCTCTCTCCACACTCACAAGGTTAGAAACGTACCGTGTCCGCGCGCTGCACGGCTACTGCTTGATTTGGAAGGAAGTGACTGCCCTGTCCAGCCACTCAGTTCCACGGTCACCTCCAACCCACAGGGTCTCCGTGTTTGTCAGAGATTCTATTATTACACAGCAAGATTATTTTGCAGCCAAATTAGGCGGAAGGTCTTCTATATAAAAAACAAAATTAAATGCATGTAAATGTACCGCCAGGCGATAGGGTGGGGACTCGTAGGCCTTCAGAGAGGACAGCCTTGTGCACCGTGCCTGCCGCGGGAAGAGAGAAGCCACACACGCACATCGCTTGTTTTGGCCCCAGATACAGTTTGTGAAAAGGACATCCGACATGTTTCTGAAAGCACGGACCCTCTTGTTTCGATAGAAGCCATCTGACGGCTCAGGCAGTCCTCCTGACGCCTGCCCTCTGAAGGTGACTGGTGAGCCGAGGTTTTCTCTCGCCCTGGAAGCGAAGGTGGCGCGGCGGCCAGAGGGCGGGCTGCGCAGGCTGCAGGAGTGCCCGCTGTCTTTAGCTGCCCCACAAGAGAGACGGCGACTTGCTGTTCCACTTGTTTTTGCATTCACGGTGGATTCTCATATGTGCCCTGACTCGGAATCAGGCCCGAAACCCTGGTGTATCAGGATGGCACTCTAACCCACTGAGCCACCCGGCCAGGGCTGTGAGGTCTTAGTCCGGGTTACGTGGTGAGAACGCGCTGTTGACTAAAAGGCTTGGGAGCCCGGCCGGCGTTCCATTCCCCGTCAGGGCGCGTGCCCAGGCTGCGGGCTCCATCCCCCATGAAGGGCGTGCAGGAGGCAGCCGACCAATGATTCTCCCTCATCACGGATGTCTCTCTCTCTCCCTCTCCCTTCCTCTCTGAAGTCAATAAAAACATATTTTAAAAAACATACCTTACAAAGTTCAGTGCTACATAAGAGGCTAAAATTCCTCAAAAAAGTTACAAAAATAGACGTACATGGAAAGTCCTGCCTGCGTGTGTCTGAGAGCACAGAGGTGTATGCCCCCCGCCCCGCGGCAGGCGTGTGGGGGAGGCAGGCTTCCTGATGGGTTGGGTTTACAGCCCCGGGTGAGGGAAGGACCAGATCGTGGCCGTGGCCGTGGCCGCGTGCTCCTCCAAAGGCAGGCAGGCGAGGTGGGCACTGAGGGCACGTCCAGCAGCCCTCGCAGTGTGGCCGCCCACGGGCCGAGGGGCCCGTTTCTCGCTCACGCCTGAGCAAACGCACTTGGCTGGGCACCTGCCCCTCTCAGGTCAGTTAGCTGCTGGCGACAAGGACTCGAGGCGTTCGGAGCGGCCGGCAGTGGCCACGTCCCGCGTGTCAGGGACCGCACGCTGCCCTGTGGGCTGCCTCCGGGGATCCCGACTGAACGCAGGCAGTTTTATCTGGTCCTGACCTGGGCGTGACCCAGACCACGGGCTTGTAGGACCCGGGGTGACCGCAGAGAGGGGGGTTCACCTCTGGCTGCCACTCCAGCCACATGGGGAGCCCTGCGATTTCGGTTAAAGGGGCCTGAGGTCCCCGCTCTCTTCCTTTTAAGCTCACGGGGGACTCCAGTGGGCAGTGAGGGTGAGCGCCGCGAGTGAGCACGGTCCGACAGCCTTGTAGACGCTACGCACCCGGGGGCCCGTGGCCAGGAGCTCAGAGCGGGGAGACGGTCAGCTGGGGGCCCCGTCTCCGCCCCCCAGAACTTTCTTCACCCCAGGGGTCCCCCAAGCGGCAGGGCTCACCAGAATTCCGGGGGGCTGGGAAAAGTCCTGGGCCCGGCTGCACCGGAGACGAAGCCCATCAGGACCTTCCCGGTGGGGACCTGGAGGTTCCCGGGCAGCCACACGGACCGGTGCCGGTCCCATCCCAGTCCCGTGTCTGCGGGAGAGGGGGCGGGGCACAGCTGGGGGGAGAACTTCCGACAAACACCGAGGCCTGGGGGGTTCATTTGTCTCACTGAGGAGGTGACAGCGTTTCCACAGAGTGCGTTACAGGGCCGCCTTAGGGATGGTCTGGGACGGACGTGAGGACCGTGGCCCAGTGCGCATGTCAGCTTCCAACTCTCTGGAGGTCAGGCGGCCAGGCGGCCAGGTGGCGGGCAAGGCCAGGGCCGGGGCGGGGGAGGCAGGAGCGTCAGGCCCACCCCCTGCAGGGGCAGAGGGCACAGCAGGAGCTTTGACATCTGGCCGACAGGGGCCTCAGATGGAAACCCGTCCCCCCTCCCCCGGGGCGCCCTGCTCTCCAGGCTCAGCCGTGTCCACCAGCCCCTGCGCCGCCCGGAACAGACGGGAGAAGCACTTCGGGAAAAACACAACCTGAAGCGACCCGGGCAACTAGGTTTCATGCAGGAAAGCGGAAGCCCCAAGGAGTGCGCGCTGGAACCGTTTCTGCGGGTTTATTATGTTTCACAGAAACCATTTCAGTTACAAAAACACGGGGACCTAATGGCCACAGGCGACCGGCTGCCGCGCCCTCCCCGCCGGTCGCTGCGACCCTGGATGTGACCGTGGCTTCCAGTGCGAATACACGTCCCACGGAATTACTTACGCTCGGGGTGGGTAAACAGTAAAGGTGGTCTCGTGGCAATGGCTTAACACGGCAGACGCTCAGCAATGTTGTGCGGCCGCCTCCCTGATCACTCTCCGATTTCTGGGGGGACGCAACCTCCCCAGTGGGGAGCCCGGGGCGAGGCCGGGGCTCCCAGGCTTAAAGGGGCGGTGGGTGGGCCTGGCTCAGCGGGTCCGCTGGCAGGTGCAGGCGGGTTCCCTCTGCCCGGAGCACACTTTCCACCTGGTGCCTCGGGCCTTCAGCCTCCCGCCTCCTTGCCCAGCCTTCCCGGCCTCCTGGAGGCACCCCCCGCCCCCCCCCCAACACACACTGCCCCCAGTGCCGCCACAGGGCGTGGCTGCCGCATCTCGCCTAGCCTTGGCCCTCTTGTTCTAAGTTTAGCGTCTGGGGGTCCATTCCCTTTGCTCTGTTGTGAATTCTTGGAACCAGGGATTCTGTCTTATGGATTTTTGCACCATTAGCACCTCTGCTGGGCTGGCCGAGGCCTCAGGAGTATTTGCGAGGGTGATGGCACTAACGTGAATGGAGCTTGTGTTTCCATGGAAACAAATTTTTTTGGTAACAAAACGGTGGGGCCCTGATCCATCGGAGTCACTAAATCTTTCAAAAACGAAAGGACAATTTTGCACGTGCGTGTGGCTGAGCACAGCCCGGGCCAGAGAGGTGGGGGAATGCGTCTTGCTGGGCTGGTGGGCGGGTGGGTGCGGCTACGAGTGTGTAACGCACCGGGGAGGCCCACCTTGCACAGGTTGGGGTGTCGGAGCCCCACCTCGCTGGGCTCTCCGAGGAGAGAGACTTTTGTGAAAGAAGGAAAAACATTTTCTCTCCTCATGCACCTGCAATGCTGCGAAGGCATTAGCGTCAACGTCAAACTCACGCCTTCCTATTTGCCACCTGAATCCCACCCTCTCCACCCCATCGTCACTCCCGCGGGGAAGCGGCAGTGCGAGGCTGTGAGTGGGTGCCTGGGTCTATTCACACGGGGGGGGGGTTCCCCAAAGGGAAGAGAAGAGTACCTTTCGAGTAAAAAACGTTTAAAGTGAAAGAAGGAAGGGTGTTTCTACGGGTAGCCTAAGCGAATCTTTTTTGGGGGCGACTCAGCCAGTCTCCAGCACAGCTTCCTCTCCGCAGCCTCCGGATCTGCGCCCCCCCCCCGACCCCCCAAGGCCGGACGGGCTTCCTCTGAGAACGTTCGCGTCTTGATTAAAGGCTTCTGGTCTGAGTGCTGCTGACTCGGCTGGGAGCCGGCCTGGCCTGTTGGCTGTACCGTTTCCTCTTGCTGACGGGGAAACCGTATCGGGTTCCAAAAGGAATGGAATGGAGAACAAACAAGGAAGTCTTAAGGCTTGTCACGGGAAGACGCCGGCCAAGGGATGGAGGGCGAGGACCACGGGGACACGGACAGAAAAGCGAGTCCGAGGAGGAATCTGTCGTCGGGTCCTCCCTGCCCAGGAAGGGGGCAAGGCGGCTCATCCTCTCGTACCTGCCACGACGGGATGCCGTGCCGCGTACCGTCAGCCGCTGGGGTCAGGGAGGGCGCGTGTGACCGGTCGGGGAGAGCAGAGGCAGAGCCGACGGTCCGCGTCCCCTCAGGCTGGCCTTGCTCTTGGTCCCAGGTGGGCCCCTGTCCTCAGGGCAGCGCGAGCTCCGGACGGTCTGGCCTCTTCCTCATCAGAGAAGCCCATTCGGAACCGAGCCAGTACCGGCCCTGAAAACCCCCGGGCCCCCGAGCAGTACCTCTTCAGTGTAGGCAGCTTTCTTTCCGAAGGTCCCTCATTGCTGGGTGCACGTCTGCCCGGGACGGCATTCTTTCCGGTGCCTTCTGAGGAGCTCAGAGTGCAACGTGCCAGCGCACATCCGAGCAGGGGCGCCGCCTGGTCGAAAGGGGGCCGGTCAGACGATCTAAGAAGATCCTTGGATCCGGCCAGACCAGTCCGGGGCGGGGGCAGGAGTGGTGGGGCACGGCGGGTGGCTGGCAGGCCTGGGAGCTGCGTGGCCGGTCCCGGGGGCTGCAGGCTGGCCTGGCGGCCGTGGCCACTTCCTCGGTCATGCGCCGATGGACTCGCTGCTCGGCAGGCCCACCCGCAGGTAGTCTGCGTTCTCGGCCGTGGGCCCCGGGAAGAGGCCGTTGGCCTGGGCCTCCTTGGGCAGGAAGTCCTGCTGGTAGTCGGGGTTGTCCAGGTTGATTTGGTGGCTGCCGTTCGGCGCCCAGCGGGCCCCGTGGACGGCGGAGGGGTGGGTGGTGTTGAGATACTCGGGGTTGCCCACGGCGCTGCTGGGGGGGTTCTGGTAGTGCGGGTCCCGGCCGGGAGCTGGGGTCAGGGGCTGGTTGTGGTAGACGGGGTTCTGGACCGAGCCCGCCGGCCTCTTGGGGACCGACTGGTTTATGTATTCTGCATGGGAAGAAAGCAGAGGCAGTCAGCAGCCGTGCGGGCGGGCGCCTCCCTGGCTTCCTCTGACCCGGGAGCCTTCCCCAGGGGGTGGGTGACGGAGCGGGAGCCGGAGACAGCGGGCTTCCTGCCGCTCAAACAGGCTGTGCCCGTTCTGTGCCCCCAGAGCAACGGGCACCCTACCTCCCACCCCCTAGAGCTCTTGGAGGACAGCCTGCCCTGGGGTGTGCAGGCAGGTGGGGGGCGTCTGGGGGTAAAGCTTAGATCAGAAACGTACATGTTCACAGGCCGAGCATGGAGCCAGGAGAGAAAAAGGGGATTGAATCTGTCACACACACACACACACACACACACACACACACACACACACACAAACACATGCACACACACACACTCACATACATCCCCTCACAAACTCTCTCTCTCACACACACACACACACACACACACACACTCTCACATACACTCACGCACTCACATACATACACACACACAGACTCTCTCTCATACTCACACTCATATACATACATACACACACACTCTCTCTCACATACACTCACGCACTCACATACATACACACACAGACTCTCTCTCATACTCACACTCATATACATACATACACACACACACTCTCTCTCATATACACTCACGCACTCACATACATACACACACAGACTCTCTCTCATACTCACACTCATATACATACATACACACACACACTCTCACATACACTCACGCACTCACATACATACACATACACACAGACTCTCTCTTATACTCACACTCATGCACTCACATACATACATACACACACACACTCTCACATACACTCACATACATACACATACACACAGACTCTCTCTTATACTCACACTCATATACATACATACACACACACACTCTCTCACATACACTCACACACTCACATACATACACACACACACAGACTCTCTCTCATACTCACACTCATATACATACACACACACACTCTCTCTCACATACACTCACGCACTCACATACATACACATACACACAGACTCTTATACTCACACTCATGCACTCACATACATACATACACACACACACTCTCACATACACTCACGCACTCACATACATACACATACACACAGACTCTCTCTTATACTCACACTCATGCACTCACATACATACATACACACACACACTCTCTCACATACACTCACGCACTCACATACATACACACACACACCCCTGCACTCTCTCACACACGTGTGTGTGAGCTGTTTGCTCCAATGCCTGGAACACCTGCAGATTCATTCTAAAGACTGAGCTCTGACCCCCCTGCCCACGCCCTGGGCTCGGGGGAGACGGCGGGCCACGCTGGGCCCGGCTGTGCGCATCTGCCTCTCCCTCCCTGCCCGGTGCCTGCCAATTTGCCCCGTGTCCACCCGGGGTCCGCCCGAAGGAAGGCCCGGCCTGGGCTGGGGCTGGGGCTGAGGCTGAGGCTGCCGGGGCTGTCGAGCCTGAGTGTCCAGGACGGCCACTCACCTGGCGCGGGCAGGAAGGCGTCGCTGAGGCTGTCCTCGGTCAGGGCGCCTGTGGGGTCCGAGCTATACCGCTGCAGGAAGCTGTCTTCCTTGTGGGGGCAGCTCTGCGGGGGGAGGGGAAGGAGGCGGGGTCACGGGAGCCGCACCCCCCAGGCCCTGAGCTCTGCCCCAGGCAGGCTCTCACTCTCTGGTCTGGGCAGCGGGAGAGACTGCGTTCCTAACCGCTCCAGGGTTCCCACGCTGCTGGCCCAGGCCCGGCACTGCCGTCCAGCGGGCCGTCCACCCAGCGGGCTGCCTGCAAGGGCAGCCACGGCCTCTGCCCTGCGCTCCTCCATGTGCAGCCTCTAGCCACGTGTGTGAGCAACTGAGTCCTAAACTGTATTTGGTCTTAATTAATGCACATTTACATGTCAGCCGTCCCATGTGGCCAGGGGCTTCCCCCTTGGTAAGTGGGGGTCCAGACCAAGGCTGCCTGGCACCGGGCCTCAGTGCCCCCTGAGGGCTGAGTGTCCCCCTAGGGATCCACTTCCTCGGTCCGGGCAGAGGCCCCCGCTTTGCATCTGTCACCAGCTGCCCGGGATGCCGAGGCTGCTGGTCTGGGAGCCACGACAGAATAGCTCTGCCGTGAGTGACAGCTCATGCTGGCCTCAGGGCAGGGGGCAGGGAGCCAGGCAGGGGAGGAGCCACGGGGCAGGAAGACCAGGGGCCTCTGGGTGAATCTGGGCATTGCCCGGTTTCCTAGCGCAGTGCCCAGGGTGCCACTGAGCTCCGGTTTACTGGGCTCCGTACGTACCCCGTTTCTATCGATGCAAGTCACGGCGGAGTTGTTGCTGGTGGCACTCTGCAAGAGAATCGGAGGAGTTTATGGGACACGTGTACGCTCTCCCCCGCCTCACCGAACGCACCCGGAGGGGCTTAAAGGCCACGCTGGGCCCGGCTGTGCGCATCTGCCTCTCCCTCCCTCCACCGTGTCTGCCAATTTGCCCCCGTGTCCACCCCTGCGTCCACCCGACGCGGAGGTACTGAAAGGCGCGTCCTCTCCTCTTGACCCATGAGCTGTAGGAAAACTAGGCCTGTATCTGACTGACTCCTGGTCCTCAGCGAACCTGAGAAAACTACCATCCGTGGTCCCGACGCCATAAAAGAACGTCAACACGCTGAACCGATTCTTTCTGCCTTTGGCTTGTCACTCGGTGAAACGCACTTCTTCGTCTCTAAGTGCGTTTCACCAGATGGGCATCCTTTTCTCTAAACTCAAGTCACTCAGCCCGGCCGGCGTGGCTCAGTGGCTGAGTCTCAGCCTATGAACCAGGAGGTCAGGGTTCGGTTCCCGGTCAGGGCACAGGCCCGAGTTGTGGGCTCGATCCCCAATGTGGGGCGTGCAGAAGGCAGCCAGCCGATCCAGGATTCTCTCTCATCATGGATGTTTCTCTCTCTCCCTTCCTCTCTGAAATCAATAAAAATATATTAAAAAACAAACAAACAAAAACTCAAGTCCCTCCAACCGGGAGAGCGTGAGCGGTGGCGGCCTCACCAGGGAGTTGAGCAGGGGCGTGCGGGAGGTGGCGGGGCTGTGGAAAAAGCCCTGCTGGGGGATCAGGTACTCGTCCGCGTCCACCACGTCCTCCATGTCCTCTTCGTCCATCAGCGCGCGGTAGAAGTTGGAGTCCGTGGGGCTGGGCAAGTTCATCCTCTCGTCGCCCTGGGGGTGGGGGGGATTGGAGGCCATGAGCAAGGCCCAGGGGGAGGGCATCCCTTCTTGGCTCCCGTGGTCTAGGAGTCCATTGCTGGCAGACGCCGTGTGTTTACGGGTTAGTCACAGTAAAATCGCCCTGGTTCTCTTTCGTGTAACGGCTTCCTCCCTCCCCAGGCCAGGAATTAAAACATCAAAAATTGCCCGCTGGCGTGGCTCCATGGTTGGGCATCGACTTGTGAACCAGGAGGTCGCAGTTCAATTCCCAGTCAGGGCACATGCCTGAGTTTCGGGCTCGATCCCCAGTGTGGGGCGTGCAGGAGGCAGCCGATCCATGATTCCCTCTCAGCATTGATGTTTCTCTCTCTCTCTCCCCCCCTTCCTCTCTGAAACCACTAAAAATGTATTAGAAAAACATTAAAAATTCCTTGATGCTTAAAAGCCCCCTGAGTGAAATGCCAATGCTTAGGGGAAAGAAGGCATGAAGCAGCAGCGTTTACAGAATGTGTATCTGCTACTAGTGGCTGAGGTACTGTTTATAATACTAGAGGCCCAGTGCACGAAATTTGTGCACGGATACGGTCCTTAGGCCTGGCCTGCGATCAGGGTCATCCTCCCTGGCTGCTAGCAGCCAGCCCCGCCCCCTGCGGCCACCCACCCCCAGTTCCCCATTCACCATCGGAGCCTGCCAGCTGGAGGGGGGCGGGAGGGACCGAGAGATCAGCCGTTTTGCTCGCTTGCTGGCCTGGGGGACGGGGCTGGCACAGGGCGGAGCCTTGGACACGGATGCTTGTTATAGGGACAGAGGTCCGGTACCTGGATGACGAGGTAGCGCTGGGGGTCTCGGGCCATTTTGGAGAATTCACTGATCAACTCCCGGAACTTTGGGCGACTGTCCGCATCTATCATCCAGCCTGGAGGAGGGAGGAGGGAACGGGGTCCAGTGAGAGCCCCAACAATCACCCCCAGGACAGCATCACTCAGGGGGAGGCTTACGGGGCCTCCCGACAAGCAAGTGCTGCGGAAACCTCCTCCCTTGATGGACCTTCCCATCTCAGCAAACTGGTGCTGACGTGGTCAAAGTCAGACATGTGTGTGTGTTGTGTAATCAGACACCTATGTATCGTGTGTCCCTGATAACAGACATGTATGAATCGGAGAGACATGACATCTCTGATGGGCCCGCCTGCTCCTCCGAGGCCAGCACCGCGGCATGACCCTGGGGGGACCCCGGGAGCTGCTCTGACTGGGGGCGCCCCGTGGCCAAGCTCCCAGGTCTTCACTCCACGTGACCCTCGTCTACGGCCACTCAGCAGTCTCGCCAACTGGAAACCAGAGCCCGTGGAGGGGAACTTGGGGACTTTCTCTAAGAACCCGGGGATCTGGGAAGTCTCCGCTCTGGTGTCCTCATGTGCCCATGGGCCGGGGCGGGGTGGGGTGGGCGGCGGGGAGCAGAGGACACCCCTGTTCCCAGGCTGGTGGCCTTGCTTACATGACCCCGGCTGATGGACGAGCTGCAGGAGAAGCCGGGAGCTGGCCGCCCTCCTGCCTCCGGGCCTCACATCTACTTCCTACCAGCGGGAGTCAGGCTATTTTTAGGCCAGACTGCCAGTGACCTCGGTCCCAGCTTCCTCGGCCCCCAACAAGGACGTTAAAAATAGATGACCCCGGGCTTGGAGTTCAGAGAGGCATCAATGTTTATATCCATGCTGCTCCCCGCCCCCCATTTCCTTCTGGGTAAATGCTCAGCACACGGCCGTGTCGCCCTCGGGGCCGCTGAGCCTGGGATTCTGCTGCCGTAACAGCGTTACCGGGTCACACACACCCTGGCCCGGGCTCAGATGTTTACCGGCTACCCTGCCGTCAGGCTGCACCTAAATCCACGGCAGGAAAGATGGAAATCCAGGCAGGCATGCCGATTCTACCAGCCTCGTGTGGTTACTCATTCCCAGTCTCTCTGGTCACATACTCCCACCCGGGCGGCCCTTCCCTGGAGCCACTCACGCCAGGGGGCCTGGGGGTCGTGGCTCACGGGGGACTTGGATTTTGTTTATTTGCTCGCAGCCACGGCAGACGCCGGGCCCCGGGGCTCCGTGAGTCAGGCTCGGCTTCCGGAGGAACGTCCGAGGGGCTGACTGACGGGTGTCCCTGGGCTGGACTGTCTGCTGCAGAGACGGGGGCGGCATTTCTCTGGGGAGCCGAGGGCTCCGCTGTTTGGCTACGGCAGCAACGCCTCCCCAGGCGCGGCTGCGCGGGGGCGGGGCCCCGGCGGTCACTCACACTTGACCATGATCATGTAGACGTCGATGGTGCAGATGGGCGGCTGCGGGAGGCGCTCCCCTTTCTCCAGGACGGTCGAGATCTCACTGGCCGGGATCCCGTCATAGGGCTTGGACCCAAACGTCATCAGCTCCCACACGGTGACGCCTGCGAGGGCGAAGGTGCCGCTTTATGAGTCAGGGACCCCAACGCCTTGTCCCTGGTCATCACTATCGATACGGTTTCTTATGCCAGAAGCCTGTGGTCCCGGGCAATGGGCTCGCGTGCTGGGAGCCTCAGTGTACCTCTCTGTAAAGTGGGGTGATGACAGTGTCTGTCGAGGATGTCACGAGGGGCCAGTAACATAACTGAGATGTTCAGACAACGCCAGGCAAAGAGCGAGCGGCCAATGAATGGTAAACTTTAGTGACAACAGCAGAGACACCACGGCCACGTGAATGAGTCAAGTCAGTCTGCTCTTGGGCGGGAGGGGCCGCGCAGGCGGCCGCCCCCAGCAGCTTGGAGGAGGACACATGGGCTTGCAGCAACAGTTTTAATAAAAGAAAAATTAGAGGGTGAGAGAGCAACCAAAGGCCTGGTAGGCATGCATACTGGCATAACCAATGGACAGGGACACTGGGGCGGTGGGGGCTTGACCTGGGGGGCGGGAGTGGCAGGGGAGGGGTCAGTGGGGAAAAAGGAGACAGATGTAATACTCTAAACAATAAAAATATATATATATGAAAAATTAGAAACAAAGTCCCCCGTGTTCCTTTGATAAACATAAAAACCCTATAGTTGTTGTTTCAAAATTAATCATGACTTAAAAAAAATCAGCGCAGTCATTTTCAAATGGGTGTTTTTTTCAGACCATGCCCCAGTTCTGATGGTCTTTCTTTTCTTTTCTTTCTTTTTTTTTTTTAAAGCATCTGACTTTTTAAAAAAATTGATTTTTAGAGAGAGCGGGAGAGGGAGAAAGGGATAGAAACATTATGATGAGAGAGAATCACGGATCAGCTGCCTCCTGCACGTCCCACACTGGGGATTGAGCCTGCAACCCGGGCAGGTCCTCTGACTGGGCATCGAACCAGCAACCCCTTGGTGCCTGGGATGATGCTCAACCCCTGAGCCACACCGGCTGGGCCCTGACGGTCTTCCCACCTCTGTGCCTGCAATTCTCTGCTCTGGAAACACATGCACACCCCAGGGAGCTAGTCCTCGCCTGCACAGCGAGCGGCCACTGCTCCCACAGCTGGGGACAGATGACACGTCACGAGTCACCCCCACAGAGCAGCGAGCAGCCCTTCAGCAGCTGGCTGGGTGGCAGGGGAGGCGGGGGGGCGGGGGCAGGGGAGGGGTCCCAGTGGTGAACGCCCCAGCACAGCCCTCTGGGAAAATGCCTGAGTGACACCCTGCTCAGACAGCCCTTTGTGCAAAGGCAAGGCGGCCAGAAGGTGGAAGGCGAGAGGGGACTGCCGGGGGCAAGCAAGCCGGGGTCCTGATGACGCCTGAGAGCAAAAGCAAGCCCCCTATTCCTACCGTCTTCTCCCAAAGACACCTCCTCACCGTGCATTTCTGCCGCCAGCTCCCCGAGACCATGCTCGCCACCATTCATTCCCAGCTCCAGCCCCTGGGTTAGTCCCTCACCAAACCTCCTTTCTCCACGGAAACTCTGCCCACCCCCGCCCCCGGGAAACCTCACTTGCTACCTCCCTTTGGTTCACTTCAAATTCACGCAGGAGGTCGAGTTCAGTCTGGTTTTGCAGGTACAGGCATTTGCCAAGGTCAAGTTCTCTTTCCCCGCCAGCCCCCCCGCCCCACCCCCCCCCGTTACCCCCTGGACCAGTTCCCCGGCAGCGGTGGCGTTCAGTGTGGGTGCGTCACACTTTCTTAGTGTCACTGACGCGGCGGTACTGCTGTCAGCCACTGTCCTGGGAGGAAACGCTGGGTGGTGAGCACACGGTGCAGCTCAGCGAGCGCTCGGAGCGGCTCAGCCCCGGGATCCCGGCTCGACTCACCGTAGCTCCAGACGTCGCTCTGGTGGGTGTAGATTCGGTGTAAGATCGATTCCAGGGCCATCCACTTGATGGGCACCTGGGGACACAAGGGACAAGGCGATAAGACAACCGCTGGCCTCCCTCTGCTGAGACCATGCTGCACGCTGCCGGGACAAGTGACGGGGGACGAGCGTGGGGAGGCCAGCCCCCAGCCCACCCCACCCCAGGCCCAGGGCTCTCCCAGAGGAGGGGCAGGTTTCACATCGGTGGAGAACAGGGCTGCTCTGGGAGGCCCCGAGCTGGCAGCCCAGGCCTGTGCTGTGCCCCGGGGCCCCATCCACCCGTGCTTATGGGGGTTGCTGGGGCCAAGCAGGCCGGAGAGGAAACTAAGAGGGTCCCTTGGGCCCAGAGCATTCTGAAGGCCCCCCTGCTGGGAGAGCCCCGGCCGGTCCGAGGAGGGCGCCCAGCGTGCGTCACTGAGACCTCGGGGCTCTGACATGTTCTTGCAGCCGCGTGCCACCCACAGCGGTGACCCGCCCAGCTGCCTCTGAAGGTGCTTTCCCCTGCAGGGGCCGGACCTAACCTTGGGGACCCGGAGATGGAGCGGAACTCACGGGACTGCTTCCTGTCCTCCATCAGAAACATCCCTGCTCGCTCTCCCAGCAAATCCTGCCCCCCCAGCAGACCCAGGGGTGGCGGCGGCAGCCGCTGTGACGTCGCCCAGGACGGCCCGAGAGCGTCCCCCACGCCCATCAGTCAGTGGCCGGCGGCGGCGCCGCGGGTCCCCAGCCAGCGCCTCACCTTGCCGCCCTCCGCGTGGTACTCCTTCTCCTCGGCGCCCAGCAGCTTGGCCAGCCCGAAGTCCGTGATCTTGACGTGCTGCGGCGTCTTCACCAGCACGTTCCTGGCGGCCAGGTCCCGGTGCACCAGGCGCCGCTCCTCCAGGTAGTTCATGCCCTGAGACAGGCCCCGCGGTGAGTGTGACGCGGTGGCTCAGTGACTCCTCCCCACCCCTGGCTGGCGTCTCATTCCCACGTGGACCACGCGGAGGCGCCACGGAGCAGGAGCCCCGCCATCGGGCCCAGACCTGGCTGCTGGGCGGTGGGCCGGCCAGCAGGACACCCTCCCAGCGCCGGGCACCTCCCAGACTCACCGCCAATGCAGATCTGTCCGTCTGCCACCCTCTCTGTCACTTTATTTATGTTTTTAAAGACTAGCTTGCTTATTTATTTATTTATTTGTTGAGAGAGAAGAAGGGAGGAGAGAGAAACATGGATGTGAGAGCACAACATGGATGGGCCGTCTCCTGCACGCTCCCTACTGGGGACCAGGCCCACAATACAGGCATGTGCCCTGACCGGGAATCGAACCCCAAGCCTCCTGGTGCACCGGGCGGCGCCCAACCAACCGAGCCACACCAGCCAGGGCTCGCTCACGTGTTTCACATGAAAACCACGTGGCTATTGAATTTGCTTCTACAAGCTCTCCCTGCCCCCCCCCCCCCTCGCCCCCCGGCTGCCTCTGGAACCCTGTGCTGGTCGGAGTCCCTGTTGTAAGAGAGTAGGAAAAGCTGAGAAGCCCCTGGTCCTCGTCACTGTGCAAACCCAGTAAATGAACTGAGCTTGGCCGCCCCGCTCCACGCCGCCCCACCCCGCGGCCTTTAAAGGGCCCCAGCAGCTGGGCTGAGCTGCGATGTGCTCTCTGGAGCCAGCTGGGGGAGGGGAGGGAAGGGCAGCTCCCTGTTCTGCAGCCCGCGGCTCATCGGCGGCGGCGGCGTTTGAATCCGAGGTAATTCTGGGACGAGGAGATGAGACCTGTCTGAACTTAGATCCCACGCTGTCCCTCGGTCTGGGTCCCACACGCTGAGGCACCGGGGAGGCCACCCCGTGCCCAGCAGGGCTACGTTTTAACCAGCCACCGACGACAAGCGCCCGGTCTTGCTGGCGAGCTCCCAGAACTCTGCGGAGACGCCGTGGACGGAGGGGGGTCGCAGGGCTGCGGGGCCCCTGGGGAGCTCACTTCCGGCCTCGAGAGCCTGGCTTCCATGTCATCAGCATGTTTATTTTTGTGAATGACTGCGGGCCGGCTGGGCTGCATTCTGAAACACGGAGGTCCCAGGGACTCTGCCGGCCAGCCTAGACCGCACCCAGGAGGGGCCCGGGGCCAGGGGGCCGCGAGGGGAAGGTTTTCCTGGCGGGGTGGCTGCGGGGGACATTGACAGGCTGTTTTCCCACGGCTGCCGCCTCCCACAGGCCTGGGGAGGAGCCCAGGGTGAGATACCCCACGTGGAAAATCCGGGTGCGCACAGACGCGTGGACACGGATGAGGCGGGAAGCAGGACGTGGGGCCCATGGTGCGGGCTCCCCACCACTGACCATGCCCTTGGAGGAGGCGGACGGCGTAGGGTGTCTGACTCCAGAGCAGGAGTGTGTGGCACTGACATAGACTGGGGACGGGGACGCTTGTTCACTGGCCTGCGGGCTCTGTCCTGAGTCGGGGGCCCCTGCGGGTGATGAGCGTGGATCTGGGAGCAAGGCCACCTGGCGTCCAATCCCCAGTTTGCTACTTGCTAGCCTGAGGCCTTGGCACGTTCAACACCCCATGCCTCAGTTTCCCCACAGTGAAGTGCACGTGGAGAACGAATCCTTTGAACTAAATTATTTTTTGGAAGCGGGTCCTTACTCAGTTTTATCTCCCAGACGGAGCTAAGCAGGCTGCTGCGTGCGAAGCTGTGGTCAGAGAACGGCGGCCGGACCCAAGCCTCTTCCTGAGGCCCGCGCCCTCTCCGCTCTCCTCACGTCTCAGGCTGCTCCTGGTGACCTACGCTTCGCATTTGTCTGAGAACTCAACTCTGTGAGCTCTTTTTTAGAAATTGATTTCTCGAGAGACAAAGATTTGCTGTTCCCTTATCGATGCACGCATTGGTTGATTCTTGTCTGTGCCCTGACCAGGGATCAAACCCGCAACCTCAGTGCATTGGGATGACGCGCTAACCGACTGAGCCATAGGCCAGGGCTGTGAGGCCTTAGTCTGGGTTAGGTGATGAGAACGCACTGTTGTCTAGAAGGCTTGGGAGCCCAGCCCGCATGGCTCAGTGGTTGAGTGTCTACCTATGAACCAGGAGGTCACAGTTCGATTCCCGGTCAGGGCCCAGGCCTGGGTTGGGGACTTGGCCCCCAGTGCGGGGTGTGCAGGGGGCAGCCGATCCATGATTCTCTCCCATCATTGATGTTTCTCTCTCTCTCTCTCTCTCTCCCTTCCTCTCTGAAATCAATAAAAATATACTTAAAAACAGGAACGGCTTGGGAAAATGCTAGCTTCATCACCGCCCAGACGGCTTCCTCTCCTGTGGACTGTGCAGTAGGAAGGAGATGGGCCCCCCGGGACAGATGGCCCAGCACGATGGCTGCAGGGATGAGACTCTTGGATGAGAAGGCTGTACATGGTGACCGTGCCACGCAGTACATTTCGGGGGTCACCACCTGGCTCACAGAGCCAGGAAGAGTGGGCACGCTCTCCAGCCTGTCCGTGACAGCCCCCGTGGCCCCATGGGCCAGGTGTTCAGGAAACGCTGGCCTCCCTGACAGGCAGGCAGGTGAGGTCTGCGAGTCTCGAGCCCGAGACTTTGGTCTGGAGAACAGAAGCCATTTCCACGCCTGCAGCAAGGGGGTGGGGGGGGCTTCCTTCTGCGCCCCCCCCGCCCCTCCCCCCCTCGCCACTCCTATGATTGTGAAATGATTATTTTTCCTTTCGCCTGGGCCATACAATTTTATCTGCCGTCTTGGCGGTTTAGCTGGGACAATAAACGGGCTTCCCGACAATATTTAGGCAGTTTCCCAAGACAGCCCAGCCCGGTGCCAGCGCGGGGCGCCTGCAGCTCAGCCAATCCCGCTGCGCCAAGGCCGCGAGTGTAGGTTCTGGTCAGCCACCAAGTGTTTCTGGGTAGTTTCGCTTCAGATTTGTACAAAGAAAATGGTTTAGTCCTTAGATAAATAGTCCCTAACCCCGAGCAAATCTCTCTCTTCCTGGCTGAGGAAACCATTTCCTCCCCCTCCCCCGCCCCCAGACTCGGGTCCCGCCGGCTCCTGGAACACAGCGTCCCTTGGGAATTGGAAAGCGAATGTGTCACAGGCTTACAGCTCACAGCCGCTTGTGGAAGGACTTCAACACCCAGTACAGCCAAACAGAGCACAGGAGGCAGGACGGCGGACTTAAATTCGGGTTGATACCCTGGCTGGTGTGGCTCAGTGGATAGAGTGTCAGCCGTGGACTGAAGGGTCCTGGGTTCCATCTCTGGTCAAGGGCACATGCCCGGGTTGCGGGCTCGATCCCCAGTGGGGGGCGTGCAGGAGGCAGCCGATCCATGATTCTCTCTCATCATCGATGTTTCTATCTCTCCCCCATCCCTTCCTCTCTGGAATCAGTAGAAATATATTTAAAAAAACGTAGCCGGACGACCTGATGCCCAGCGTGCAGTGGGACGGGCACGACTGGAGGCGGAAGACAATTCAGTTTCATCCCGAAGAGCGTGGGGCTCCCACGAGTGGCCGCACGTCCCGGGAGAGGAGGGACGGGCAGCGGGCTATGGGCCGCTGGGCAGTGCCCTCTGACTGACCTTGGCGATCTGCACACACCAGTTGAGCAGGTACTGGGAGCCGATGTTGTCCTTGTGCTCGCGCACGTAGTCCAGGAGGCAGCCGAAGGGCATGAGCTGCGTGATGAGCTGGACCGTGGAGGTCAGGCAGATGCCCAGCAGGCGGCACACGTGGGGGTTGTCCACGCTGGCCATCACGTAGGCTTCCTGCGTGGACGAGAGGCGAGGAGGGCGTCAGACATGCTCCCGCGGGGGCTGGGGGGAGGCAGGCCGAGCCCTCCCAGGTCAAAGAGCGACATGATGAGGAGGGGACAAGCTAGCCGGGAGGTGGACGTGTCCGCGGGGCCTTTGATATATCGCGCTGTGAATGCCTAGGTGCAGCGCGAGGCCGGCACCCCCTGGGGGCCCGTAGAGACCTCCCTCCCTTTGCAGGGTGCCCCCAGTGGCAGAGACCTGATGTGCCCAGCCTGGCACTGCCAAGGTCTTCCCGAAAGACCTCTGCCTCGAAGCTAAGGAGGCTGCAGTTTAAGATGCCAGCGGTGGAGGGACCTGGGGAGCATTACGCTGAGCGAAACAAGCCGCTCAGAGAAAGACAAGGGTCCATGGTCTCGCTCATCTGTGGAGTCTCAGGAACCAAGTGAACTGATGAACTAAACAGACCCAGAGACACAGACGCATGGACAGACTGTGGACGCTCAGAGGGAAGGCGGGTGGTGGGTGGGAAGCGATGAACCGATGGATTTGTGCGCAAATACGCATCACCCGGGCACAGACAGTAGGGGGGAGGGCCTGGGGTGGTGGAGTGGCTGGGAGAGGTCAATGGGGAAAGGGGCCAGATGTAATACTTTCAACAATAAAGATAAAAAATTAAAAAATAATAAAACGTCGTCAGGGTTCCCACCCCGGAGAGGGACTCGCCCACGGGTGCTGGGCCCTCGCGGGAGCCGGCCAGGTGTGAGGCGGCAGGGCCAGCAGGGCTCCCTGAGCTGGCAGGTGGCGGGGGGGAGGGGCTCCCCTCTCAGCAGGGCCCTGAGTCCCCGCTGTGGTCCCGGGGCCACCTCTGCCATGGGGAGCCAGAGACCCGCCAGGGGCCCGTCCGAGGCTGAGAGGCGCGGCGGGCGGGAATCTACCGCGAGGTGGACCCGCGGCCGCCGGGATTCCCTGGAAGCAGGGCGATCTCTGCGTTGCCCTCGCCGGAGTCTGGGACGGAAGCTGCGCTGCTCTGCGCCCGCTCTGCACCCGGCGGCCGTGCCCCTTGCTGCTGGCTGCCAGGCAGGGCCTCTGTGGGGCACAGGCCGGAGCAGAGACGGTGTGAGCCGCTGCTTTCTCGGGCGGAGGGAGCTGTTATTTATGACCCTGCGCACAACGGGGCCCTCTCTTCCGTCTGTGTGAGCATGCGGGGACCCTGACTTTCACCCATAAATCCTTCCTCTCTTCCGCTAACATACAAAGGGTGGGGGCTCTTCACGGGGGACCACAGGGCCTGGGGAGGCAGCTCAGAGGCGCCTTTGTCCTTCTCCGCGGCTCCCGTTGGACGAGGGGCAGCCGGGCGCTCCCTGCAGTAGTGAAGGCACCTGGGCCGCTGGGCATGGGAGGTGGAAGACAGGAGACAGAGGTGGGGGACCTCCCCCTCCCGGGCCTCACTGCTCTCCGAAGCCTGGCCTCACCTTCCAGCCCCGCCCCCCACGCCCCTCTGGTCCCCCTCCCTGTTCTGTCAGCCCTCCCTCAGGAGCCCCCACAGCCCTCCCCCCGGCCAGGCCCTCTCCTCCTGTCCCTCGGCTGACTCCTCTACAGGGGAGCCGCCCCAGACCCCCAATCCGAGTTCGATTCTCCTGGCATCTCACTTTTCCCCGGGGGGACGGGCTGGGCACAGCCTGGGAACTTTCTGTGAGAGACGCCAACTCCTGGCCACCCAGATGCAGGGAGGCGGGCCCAGTCGTCTGTCTGTCTGTTGGAACAAGAGCTTCAGGCACTCATAGTGATGACACTTAGGTATTTGTGTGATTTTGAAAAGTCTTCCCCACCAGGCTCTCTGAGGAAAGGCTGCAGGTCAGCGCTGGTACACGCCAGAGCCCCCGGTACACGCCAGAGCCCCCAGTACACGCCAGAGCCCCCGGTACACGCCAGAGCCCCCGGTACACGCCAGAGGCTCCAGTACATGCCAGAGCCCCCAGTACATGCCAGAGCCCCCAGTACACACCCAGAGCTCCCAATACACGCCATAGCCCCCAGTACACCCAGAGCTCCCAGTTCACGCCCAGAGCTCCCAGTACACGCCAGGGCTCCCAATACACGCCCAGAGCTCCCAGTACACGCCAGGGCTCCCAATACATGCCAGAGCTCCCAGTACACGCCAGGGCTCCCAATACACGCCCAGAGCTCCCAATACACGCCAGGGCTCCCAGTACACGCCAGGGCTCCCAGTACACGCCCAGGGCTCCCAATACACGCCCAGGGCTCCCAGTACACGCCCAGGGCTCCCAATACACGCCAGGGCTCCCAGTACACGCCAGGGCTCCCAGTACACACCCAGAGCTCCCAGTACACGCCAGGGCTCCCAGTACACGCCCAGGGCTCCCAGTACACGCCCAGAGCTCCCAGTACATGCCAGGGCTCCCAGTACACGCCCAGGGCTCCCAATACACGCCATAGCCCCCAGTACACGCCCAGGGCTCCCAGTACACGCCAGGGCTCCCAGTACACACCCAGAGCTCCCAGTACACGCCAGGGCTCCCAGTACACGCCCAGAGCTCCCAGTACACGCCCAGGGCTCCCAGTACACGCCAGGGCTCCCAGTACACGCCCAGAGCTCCCGGTACACCCAGAGCCCCCACACTGGTCCCACTGCCAAGCGCTGATTATTTATTGCTCCCCTGCCCCCCGCCCCCGCCCCACGTGCTGCTGCTGACTCTGCAGTGTGGTCAGCACTTGGCGGGTGCGCCCGGATCTTTCTTCCTCCTTCATTCCAGCGCAGCCGGCCCTACACCCAGGCACAGAGCCGCCTGGGACATGCCAGGGCTGCACTGCACGGAGATCACACGAAGCCGAAAGGCAAGGCAGAGCAGCCCTCCCTCCCCGCCCCCCTCCGGCCACGTCTCTGCACAAGGATCTCGCTGGGGGCCTTCCCGCTCGAGGCGAGGCTCCCCCCTTTAAGGAGCTGCGGTTCTCTTTTCTGCACCTACTACCCAGCAGGACGCGTGCCCATGGCAGGCCCGGCCCAGTCCCACGGCCCTCATCGGGGAAGGGCCCGCCACAGGAAGTCAGACCTGCAGAGACCTGAGCTCCTTTCCTCCGAGGCCGTTTCTGTCTAAAAGGGAATTGAGGCGCCGGGAGGCGAACAGCCCACCCAAGACCACGGTCCTGGGCGGCTCTCCGGTCTGTGCCGGCTGCAGGTCCACCGAGAGCTCGGGACGGGACGCGGCGCATACCCTGCACGTCCGCAGATCTGTTTTGCATTCCCTTTCCCTGGCCCGCCCTCAACTTAAGCTGGAAAGTCCACGGAAAAATGAACAGGCCCGTGGCTGCCAAAAGCACAAATCACTCTCTCCCCCGAGTCTGGGAATCGGTACAACCACAACACGGAGGCAGGCAGGCAGGCAGGCAGGCAGGCCTCCGGCGGCCCCTGCAGCTCAGGCTCGGGGGTTTGGAAACACGCTGTCCTCATTTTGAGGGAGAAAAATCCGCGCCCAGCACTGGAGCGGCCGTCGGTGGCGGGGCCGGAGGAGCTGGCCGGACCCGGGTGAGGATGGGGAGCAGCTCAGCGGGGGTGTCGGGCCACACAGAGCCTGGAGCCCCGCCAGGTTCCGGCCCCATTACAATCTGATGGAGCAACAGAACCAGGTCACCCCTTCCGCCCCCTCCCCCGCCCCAGGCACAATGGGGACGCTGTTGGGTCACGTGTCCCGTTCAGTGTGCGCACCAGCGAGTGAGCTGTGTTCTTCGCTGTTTGTTCTGGAGTCTCGGAGGCACAGGGTGACCCACGGCGAGCACGCCTGGTATTCCACCGCCCCGCCCGCCCGCCCGCCCGGCCGGCAGAGCCCGCACTCGCAGCCCCCAGGACAGGGGTCCCGGTCACGCGCAGGGTGTCTGAGGCCTGGGGACCTTGAAAGTCTGTTACTTTGTCCCAGTTGCCAAAATGAGTTTTTGGATCCTTCCTTCTTGCCTGAGTTCCCATCGGAGACGGTTTCATGCTGAGCTCTGGGAAAAGAGCCCCCCGTTCTCAACCGCCCTCGGCAGAGCCTGTCTCCCCTTAAGAGTAAGGAGTAGGTGCCCTCGCCCGGCCGGGTGGCTCAGGGGTTGAGCATCAACCTAGGAACCAGGAGGTCACGGTTCCATTCCCGTCAGGGCACAGGCCCGGGTTGTGGGCTCCATCCCCAGTGTGGGGCGTGTACAGGAGGCAGCTGATCAGTGATTCTCTCTCATCTTTGATATTTCTCTCTCTCTCTCTCTCCCTCTCCCCTCCTCTCTTAAATCAATAAAAATATACATTTTTTAAAAAAAACAAAGAGTAGGTGCCCGGCATGCGGCCCGCCAGCCGTGAGCTTGACATGCTTGATGTACACGCTCCCACGAGCCTTCGAAAGGAGGAGCTCGGCCCCAGGGGGCTCTATCGTCTACTTCTCTGTCCCCCGAAAGCACATTTCCTCCAATGTCAGGGCTCTGGGGGCCCTTTCCAGTGAACACGCTTCCTCCCCAAAGCATAGCTACTGGCTCCCACCGCCCTCCCTCTGCCTGGTGACATGGTGGGAATTCGCACTTTAGCATCGTTCTGTGAGACCCACGAGGACGTCCGGAAGGAGTCAGTGACGAGTGAAGGGGATGCTGCCGGAGGTTTCCCCTGCAGCAGGGGCGCCGGGTGGGTGGGGGATGGGGGGAGGGGGGCCGTCATGAATGCCGTGTCCCCTCCCTTCCTCCTGGTTCTGCTAACAGGAGCGGACACCGTGCTAAAGGGGCTTCACGCCGATCTGTGAGCCGTGACGGCGAGAGGTAATTGCCTTTGATGAGTATGTCCTCGTGTGGGGGCTGTCATGGCGCTTATGGATGCGGCGTCTCAGTTCAGGGGGCGCCTGAACCGGTGGAGGCAGGGGGACCCCTGGAGAACTGAAGTGGAGGGGGGCTGCCCCTGGGGGGTCGCTGTGTCCAAGCCCGTTTGAAAGGGTCCCCGCTGGCGTGGCTCACTGTGAGCATCGTCTGTGGGTCGGAGGCCGAGTGGGGATGTCACCGCCGACCGCTGCCCTTCTTGGCTGAAAGGGGAGCCACACCCCACAGACGCTGGAGTCGCTTTCCCTGTCCGTTAACTCTGTGCCCCTAACCTGCTGCTGACCCCTCTTCCTCTGTGGGCACAGCTCGGCCTCAGGCTCACCTGACGAGCTCCCGGAGCCCAGCATGGCGGGCCCCACAGACTCGGAGGCCAAAGGAACCACACAGGATGCTCTGATCATGAAAACCCCTGACTAAGAGCAGGTCCTGGCGGCAGTCACGGCCCAGGCCTGTGGCTCCCCTGGCCAAGGCCCATCTTCCGCCACAGCGGGGCTGTCCATCATCTCTGCGTCTAGGATCACGGACCCTGGCGTTGGAGAGCAATCCTCTCTCCTGGGCCTCTCAGGGCACCATCCCCTGGGAACACAAGCTCAGAGGAGCCCTCACGGCTGTCTTGTTCCCCGAATACCATCTCTACGGGCTGTGAATTGTTCACTACCCCGAACCCACAGGAGACAAGAAGTACGTGTCCGCTCGTTTCACTCTTGGCTCCAATCCCAGAGACGTCCTGGCTGTGCTTTCTCCCGCCCCTTCAGCCACCACCCGTGGATGTGACGCACCCTCCTCGTGCCTCTCCTTCGCCTCCCGTCTATAAAACAAGCTGCAAAACTGCCACTCTCCGCAGCATCTCCCCAATCCTTTGGGATTCCGCTTCCCGGCAATTGTCGTAGTTTGGCTCGAATGAACTCATAACAGTTCTCGGGGCGGGGTGGGGAGGGAGAGGCCTGAGCATTTCTTACGTCCACCAAAGCGAAAACATCATAACCTGTGGAACGTTCCAAGGACTCCTCCATAAAGTAACCATCCAGAGAGGCCGAGGACACTGCAATTATTTGGGGAGCAAGCGCAGAAGGCGGGCGACCGTTTCTGGAGTCGCTAGCGCATCATATTGTAAATTCTAGGCATCTTTCAAACGTCATTTCAAAGGTAAGAGAACTCAATGGAGCAAAGTGACCGTGAATTTCAGAGTCAGAGGGACAGTGAACTGGATCCCTACCCACCGCGCCCCCCCCTCCCCCCCCGCGGCAACCTGAGCACGTCTCTTTGGGCCTCCATTTCTTCATTCTCAGGGTGCTGGGCATCATCCCTACCCCCGAGTTTGCTAGGGGCGACCGCATGTAAACCTCGTGAGAGTGAGGCCCACCCTAGGAGGGAGAGGAGAGAATGGCAGAGCCAAGTCCCCCCCTCCTCTCAGGAGAAGGCCTAGAGGGACGCGTGCCAACGAGAGGCAGAAGGAAGAAGACACGGAAAGTGACCCTTCGAATGTGGAGATGAAGGAAGTGTCCCCCGCCAGCGTGCTGCCCGCCCCGAGAAAGGCGGCCCCTGACCGCCAGGCCCGTGGCAGCGAGAGGACAGACTCACGTCGAGGATTTCCTTGTTGGCCTTCGGAGACGTGGCTTCCCGCAATTCCTTGATGGCCACGGGGATTTTAACCTTCTCGCCCTCCGGGATCCAGAGCCCCTGCGAGAGAGAGAGAGAGAGAGAGAGAGAGCAGGCATGAGCCGGCAGGCCTTACACACGCCACGTGGGGCTTCAGGAGTGACGCCGTCCGGAAGGGCCAGAGACAAGGAGCTCAGCCCTGCACGGCAAAGCCACCGGCGCCGGGTGTCCCCAAGTCTCAGCGGCTCTTTGGCGATCATGGTCCACGGATCAGAGTAACGACCCTACACTCGTGCCCATGACACAGAGTGCGCCGCTGCTCCCACAGCTCTAAGGCACCCGGTCCAGGCCTAACCGAGAGCAGGCTTCACGCAAAGAGGACTAGAGACAGACGATGGAGAGGAGGCTGCTCGGACCAGGGCCTGACTCGGAAGCTGACCTCTAGGGTCAATGCCAACTTCTATAAAATGTGTCTGTGGACACGTCTCACGGGACCACTTATTCGGCGCCGTGATTATAAAAGATTTCCCTTCGACAACTTGGGAAAAATGCTGGAATTTCCCAAACCCTCAGCAACACAAGGAATAAGTGACATACACAGACGACAGCCGAGGACTCTGGCTTCGCTCCCCCGGGAGGCGAGGGGCCGCCAGCCCGAGCCCCCGGAGCGTCTGTGCCGTGTCTGGCGTCTCACCTTGTACACGGTGCCGAACGCGCCGGAGCCCAGCACCTTGATCTTTTTGAACTCGGTCTCCTTTAGGATCCTCAGGAGGGCCTGGTTGGGCGCTTCCCCGCTGGGGGTCAGGGGCTCCACGAGCTGTGGGCGACGAGGGTGAGCGATGAGTGACGGGGATGCTGGTCAGCCTCCACACCCCCCGTGGACCGGGCCTGGTCCTGCCTCAGCACAGAACCTGCCGGCTCGCTCAGGCCACACGGCCACCTGCTCTGAGGGACATCGTGAAGACACAGGCGTCCCTGACCAGAACCGGTCCAGTTCAACAAATGTAACTTCCAGCTCTGTTTCCAGGCTCTTTAGTTGACCGGGGAAGTGTGGGTGTGGAAGCTTTTTAGGGGGGGGTGGTCATTTTGGTCGCCTGCTGAACCCCCTGACACCCAAGTGCCAGGATGCCACCAGCTGCCCTGGGGACTCCCCCCGGGTACTCGGGCTTCTGACTCTGCTGGGCACAGATGCCGGGCGCGGACCGTCCTGGGGAATGGCAGTGCCAGGAACACACTGTGGGAAGCAGAGCTCGGAGAGGGGCAGGCGTGGACAGGGGCACCTTCCAGCTCCGTCTCCCCGCCCACGGGGCCTCCCCAGGACTCAGCAGGCACCACTCAAAGGCTGGCTCCTGCACATTACGCACGTACTGTCCTCTGTTTTTAAAAAATATTTTAAAAAAAATCACCTGAGGGTATTTTCCCATTGATTTTCAGAGAGGGTGGAAGGGAGGAGGAGAGACCCACAGAGAGAAACGTGGATACATTGGTTGCTTCCCACATGAGCCCCATCGGGGCTGGGGATCAGCCTGCAACCGAGGTGTGTGCCCTTGACCGGGATCAAACCTGGGACCCTTCAGTCCACAGGCCGACGCTCCACCCGCTGAGCCAACCCGGGCAGGGCTCCGGGTCCTGTCCTGCCCCCAGGCAGCTGTCACTGTGCTGTGCACTTACCGCAGAAACACGTGTGCTTCCCTGGGTAGTGCCCCCCATGTAGCTAATGGTCACTGGGCGTTCACACGCTTCCCGGCTTTGCCATCACAGGGAAGGAAGCGCAATGACGCAGTGACATCCTTAAACACAGTCTCAGGGGCCCACGCAGACGGGCCCTGCCCTCTCCCCTGTGTGTGTGTGTGTGTGTGTGTGGGGGGGGGGTGTCCCCAGGGGCTGGGGCGGCGCAGGGCACACTCACCTCCCTCTCCTGCAGCAGCCGGCGCAGCGTGCGCTTGCGGACGATGTGGCGCCGACGCAGACACAGGCCCACCACCAGCGCCACCATCAGCAGCAGGAAGAGGCCGCCCACGATCCCTATGGCGATGGACGAGATATTGGACCTGAAGGAGGTGCAGACATGGGGGAAGGTCAGGTTGTTGCCCGATGTCATGGCATCTGCGTTTCACCTATGTCCTGCCTGTGCTGAAATGCTGACACCACTGAACACGCTCAGAGAGGCGCTGCAGCCGCTGGTGGGGGGAGCAGCTGAGGGTCCCCGCGGCATCCTCATTCATCCCCGCCCCCTACCTGGCTGCATTGCACTTTTCAAATTGAGGTGTTATCTGGATCTCTCCATATAGTGGCTATATTAGTATGTAATTATTATTTTTTTAGAGAGAGGGAGAAAGGAGAGAGAGAGAGAGAGAGAGAGAGAGAGAGAGAGAGAGAGAGAGAGAGAAACACCGACCGGCTGCTTCCTGCATGATCCCCACTGGGAATGGAGCCCACAACCTGGGCATGTGTCCTGACTGGGAATTGAACCGGCAACCCAGCAACCCTTGGTGCAAGCACAACGCCCGACCAACTGAGCCACACGGGGGCAGGGCAATGGTTCTATTTCAATCTGTTGATTAAGAAAAGACATTAATTCCAAAAGTAACTCAGGCTTCAGTTCCGGTTTCCATGTGAATTTGCATCTCTCAGAGTCTCTCTGCGTCGGAAGCAGCGGCCTCCCGTCCGTGAGCCCCGCGCTGTCCGCTGGCCTGGCTGGGGAGGGCCTGTCAGTGATGCCGTGCCTCCTCGAAGGGCCCTTGGCTTTCAAGATGGCACTACAGCCGCGGAAGCGCTTCGCGTGAGCTCGGAGGGGGCTGTGCAATGAGGGGACCGCACCCAGAGACCACCCCTGTCCCAGACCAGGGGTGTCACCTCGCAGCCTCGAACCCCCGGGCGAGGTTGTGCCTGATTCCTGAGAGAGCGAAACTCAAACTCAAACTCTAAAGCTCCCTGGGGAGAGAGCCGGCTGAAGCAGAAGATTCCGAATTTGAATACAAAGTTGTTATTCTCAAGTATGGATGCCATTTCCGCTTCTGGCAGACTTCATCGTTCCAGGTAGAAATGTAAACAAACAGCGAAGACCAACCAGTTGCGGCATTTGGACGTACAATAACGGGACGTCGTCCTTACGAATTTCTCGTTAGTGGGTCACATGCACTTCGTGAAAGTGACAGTTACAACATGTTCTGCTTAGAGTACATGAGCCATCCCCTGCATCCGACCGTCTGCCCACCACTGCCGCTGGAGCGCATGGGTTTCCACGGTTTTGGAGGGAACGTGAGAGAGACACAGGAACGAATCTGTTCCTACAGAGGATGTGTTCCACGTCGAGTATTAACGAGGGCGAGTGAATGGCAAGGGAATGGCAAAACTTAAAAGAGTGAACACAACAAAGATCGGTGTCGGACGGGTGCCTGTGGGGCGAGAGGGACCTCAGTGGAGGTGCTGACTGCGGAGGAGCAGCAGGAGCTGGCTGTGCCCCGGCCTGGGAAGAGGGAGGGCTGAAGAAACCTTTCTCCCCGCAGCGGCCTCCTGTGTGCCCTGACGTTCCCCAGAGAGCAGGAAGGAGCCGTGACCACGGCTGATTCTGGGGGGAAGTGTCCGCGGCACTGAGAGGGATTCTGTCGACATGACGGGAACCGCAAGGGTTCCCAGCCCGGCTGGGGTGGCTCAGCCTCTTGGGCATCGACGGGGTGCTCAGCCTCTTGGGTGTCGACGGGGATGTCACCAGTTTGATCCCCAGTCAGGGCACAGGCCCGGGTTGCAGGCTTGCTCCCCAGTGGGGGGTGTGCAGGAGGCAGCCGATGGATGTTTCTCTCTCCTTGACGTTTCGACAGGTGTCTGTATAAATCTGATTCCTCTCTAGATGTTACTCATCGATAACCCCGCTCTTCCCTGCTGAGTCCGAATAGGAAGCCCAGCTCTGCTGGTCCCAGGGCCGCGTTTCAGCAACGATGGCAAAGTGACCAGAGCTGAAATGCTGAGGAGGTGGCCTGAGAAAGATCAGGGAGAAACCTCACGCTGGAGCTTTGTCACTGAGCAGAAAGGTCATTGGGGCACAGGTCTGTGGCAGGGCCAGCTGGGACAGGTCAGGGAGGGAGGCAGAGAAGCTAGGAGAAGGGAAGGGTCCAACCACACAGGTGTGACCAAAGAAGTCAGAGGAAGGACAGAGGAAGGAATGCTGGGCACCGAGCACGCACTTCCTGCACCCCTCACGGCAGCACCCCACCAGAGCCTGGAGATGGCGGGGTGGGGGGACCAGCAGGTGCTGGCCCAGAGGGAAGAACCTGGCCAGGCAGAGGGAGCCAGCAATGCAGCGGGCACTGTCTCTGCCCATATTGCGCTGCGTCATTAGACAACGCGGTCATACTTACTCGTTCGTGCAGCCTTTAAGACCTGGCCCTGTGCAGCTGCAGGGAGCAAAAGAGAAATACGCTTTGATTGTTCTCTTCCTTAGCATGTTCTCTGAAGAGCTGTTGTTAAGTCACGAGCAAGCCTCTTTTTATTCCATCATCAGGCAACTCTCTCTCTTATCTCTTAGGAGGCCGTGGCCCAGAGGGGTTACTAGTGAGTGAGATGCCCAGGGTCGTGATAACTTAGGTGGCAGGGACTGAGTGTCTGGGACTCATAACCTCTGCTCCTCCCCCCAACCCCCCGACTCAGCACAGTTCCCAGTGGAGAAGGATTAAGTTCCTCTCAAAGCGTTAAAAACCGCGATGCACCTCAATTTGGGGGCGGTGGATAATCATGTATTCTTACGCATTTATTCACTCGGCAAATATTTTTGAGTGTCTACTCTGCGACAGGGACTGTTCTAGTGTTGAAAAGTAGAGTTTCCGGTTTGTATTGAAGTGTTTCCATGTATTGCTTTGGCGCAGGCACAGCTGTCTCACAGCTGTCTCGAGGGTACAAGAGGGCAGAACAGAACCAGGTCCTGGGTTGTGCTGGCCCAAGGGGGAGCGAGGGGGACGCAGGTGAGCGAGGACACAGGCCTCAGGGGCAGGGGACTGGGTGGCGATGAGGACTGCAGGCCCGAAAGCCGGGAGCAGGAGCTGGCTTCCTCCAGGGCCACACGACCGAGCGTCACAGGAAGCAGGGACAGCGCCTGCCTTACTGTGACTCGAGCACCAGGCCCCGGGCACCGATGTAAATAAACAGCAACAGGAAAACAGACTATGCCAATTAAACGGGAAAGACGGCAACGGCCTGGGGAGAGTGAAGTGCATTCAAGCATGGGAAGAGGTCTGAGGCGCTTGTGTGACACGCCCGCTGATGACAGACATTTTCTGTCTCCTCTGAGGGCTCTGTTCTCCGGGGACCTGGCAGGACTATGCGCTCATTCCACCCGTCACGTCTCTGTGTGGTTAGGAGCTGCGGTATCTCAACACAGGCTCCTTCAGATGAGCCACTGGAGACTGAGCGGCCACCCACCACCACAAGCCCCTCCCACCGTGCCCCGCCCACCGCGCTCCTCCCACCATGCCCCACCAAGCCCCGCCCACCATGCCCCTCCCACCACGCTCCTCCCACCGAGCCCCGCCCATGCACTCCTCCCACTGTGCCCCACCCACCACGCTCCTCCCACCAAGTCCCACCCACTACTCTCCTCCCACCAAGCCCCACCCACTACTCTCCTCCCACCAAGCCCCGCCCATGCACTCCTCCCACTGTGCCCCATACACCATGCTCCTCCCACCATGCCCCGCCCATGCGCTCCTCCCACCAAGCCCCACCCACTACTCTCCTCCCACCAAGCCCCACCCACTACTCTCCTCCCACCAAGCCCCGCCCATGCACTCCTCCCACTGTGCCCCGTCCACCATGCTCCTCCCACCATGCCCCGCCCATGCGCTCTTCCCACCAAGCCCTGCCCACCATGCTCCTCCCACTGTGCCCCACCCACTATGCTCCTCCCACCGTGCCCCGCCCATGTGCTCTTCCCACCAAGCCCTGCCCACCATGCTCCTCCCACTGTGCCCCACTCACCATGCTCCTCCAAACAAGTCCCACCCATGCACTCCTCCTACCGTGCCCCGCCCACCATGCTCCTCACACCGTGCGCCACCCACCACGCCCCTCTGCCAAAGCCCCTCCCACTTTGCTCCGCCCACTGTGACTTGCCCAACAGCCTGTTCTGGCTGCTGCCTTGCCTTTGGGGACCACCTGAAGCCCTGACTCCACCTCAAACCTCCGGGAGTGCCGCCTGGAAATTCTGGAGATATTTCCAATCTGCGAACTTGCAAGATAGGAAACCTTTTGTTCTGGGCGTTTCCTTTCCCAGGGCCCGAGGGGCACTCACCCGTAGGGGCAGTTGGGGTGGCACAGGTGGCAGATGTGATTGGCGTCCGCGAACTTCCAGACCAGCGTGTTATTCTCGCCCATGACCCCGGCCGGGCAGGTCTTGACGCAGTGAGGGCCATCGATGTAGTGGGCGCACTGCACGCAGCTGTCGGGGCCCTGCAGCGCGGGAGAGAGGCCGTCACCGACGGGATAAGGGCTCTCCCCTTTGCCAAATGGAAGTAGCCTTTTACTTAAATACGTGTCTTGGAAAAAAGTCAAACAGTGTAGAAACTGTCCGAGTGGAAGGCGAGTTCGTCTGTGGTTGTGCTTGAGCCCTGAGCCCTGTTCACAGTGAGCATAAAGCCTGTCTGACCTCGCACACGTGTGCTACATACAAAACATGAGAGACAGTGCTAGTTAGTTTATTACACGTCACTCACACTCTGAGGGCATCTCTCCTTGTCAGCACAACCCGGATGGGCCCGCAAGTGCATTTATCCCCGGGCTGGTCGGGCGGACTTGCTCACACGTGGGATTTGTGGTTCAGGGCGGCTCGCGGCAGCCAGACCTGCCCAGCCCAGCAAATTGCTGGAAACCCACCTCCAGCCAGTCCTGAGCAGGAGGCGGCGGGCTGAGGGCAGTGTCGCTGCCCAGTTAACTGAGCAATGGGGTGCCTTCCACTCTGGGACGCTGAGTTCTCACTGATACTCTTCACCACATCACTACGTCGCTAGGAAACTGGATTTTAAAAAGTTTTCTAGGGCTTTCTTTAAGAATTCTCCAAAAATGACACACTCCTATTGCGTAAGAACTTGATGATGTTTGAGTAAAACTAAAGCAATGATGACCGACGTCAGAAGTGGGGGACACGGGCTGACCCCGTACCGGGCTCTGCACGGTTAGGTGTGAGGGTGTGGGCAGGAGCGGGGATGTGAGGACTTCAGCTCCGTCGGAGCCCCGCCCCAGCCCCAAGGCGCACGGCCTCTCTCTGGGGCGTGGGCTGGGGCGCTGTCCTCAGCACCCATGTGGACGTGGGCCGTGGTGGGAGCGACCGCTGGGAGGCCCTTCCCCGTGGCGTGTGGGGGCACGGCATGAAGCGAGCTCCTTACGCGTCCTGTGCAGGTCACGTTCATGGGCTGGGGCAGGCACTCCGGGTGGCACTGGATGCACTCGCCGTTCTCCACGAACTCCCTGGGCTCGCTGCGGGGGGCGGGGGGAAGGACAGTGGTCAGCGCCTCCCTGGGGACCCGCAGCAGGACGCTGGCAGCTGCAGCTGTGAGCCGGTCTGTCTGAAAAGCCCGGTGACACGAACCACCTCTCTCAGCAATGCACAGCGGTTCCAGGTAAAAGCCACACGGCCAGGGTCCAGGGAGACCCTGTCATATAATAACCAGACTCTGACCGAACCCTCTGCCGTCTTCCACCAAAGCCAGCCATAACCCTCACCCAGCACCCACACCTCTCCCGGGTTCTCCTAGTGACACCGTGTGCACGTGTCAGCGAGCGAGCCAGCGAGTGAGAGAGAAAGCGCCCCTGCGGACTTGCCGTGAGCGGAGCAGGAGGGATCGCTGCAGAGACCACAGGGGACGGGGGGAGAGCCCTTCCCCCGCCATGGTCCGGCCCAAACAGTAAGAACGGAGCCCGGGGCGGGGGGGGGGGGGGGAGTGAGGACTCTGCTGGTAATATCGTCACCACTCCTCCAAGATGCGCCATCAACACAGAGCAAGAGGCCGTGTCCCGATCGAGAACCCAGGGGGAGTGGCGGAGAAGACTGACATCTGCCTGGTGATGCCCGACCGGCCCTCACTGGGCGGTGAGCAGGAGCGGTTACACCCGGAAATGTGTCCTGCGAGTCCCCTTTCAGGCACTTGGCATCAGTTAAACCAGATGCCACCTTCGCTGGTCTCTGTGCTTCTGCCCCGTGGAGGGGGCCCGTCTTGCAAAGGGACCCGTGCGGCTGGGCCCCAGGCACTGTGGAGGAAAGACCTGGCACCTCGACGTGCTTGCTTTCATTACTTTGCCTTAAAAAACTTTTATTTTAGCCCTGGCTGGCGTTGCTTAGTGGTTAGAGCAAGGGTCCTCAAACTTTTTAAACAGGGGGCCAGTTCACTGTCCCTCAGACCGTTGGAGGGCCGGACTATAGTTTAAAAAAAAACTAATCAGCTGCTAAGCAACAGGCAGCGGCGGCAAAAACACCCGGCGGGCCGGATAAATATTTTCGGCGGGCCGCATGTGGCCCGCGGGCTGTAGTTTGAGGACCCCTGGGTTAGAGCATCAGCCTGTACACCAGACGGTCACAGGTTCGATTCCCGGGTCAAGGGCCTGTGCCTGGGTTGTGGGTCTGATCCCCTCTGATCCACGGCCCAGTTGGGTACATGTGGGAGGCAACCAATCCAGGTGCCTGTCATGTGGATGTTTTTTTCTCTCTCTCTTTCCCCTCCTCTCTCCCTCCACTCTAAAAATCAATGGAAAAAATACCCTCACTCCTCAAGTGAGGATTAAAAATTTTTATTTTATTTTATATTTTTATTGATTTTTAGAGGAAAGGAGAGGGAGAGAGAAAGAGAGAAACATGGGTGTGAGAGCAAAACATGGATCGGCTGCCTCCTGCACGCCCTGGACTGGGGATCGAGTCCACAGCCCAGACAGGTGCCCTGACCGGGAACTGAACCAGTGACCTTTCTGTGTGAGGGACGGTGCCCGACCCACTGAGCCACACCAGCCAGGGCAATGACCTTGTCTTTTTAAAGAGAAGTGAAAACTGAAACACGAGCAGAGGGAATACCTGTGGCATTAAGGAGAGCGCCAATAGTTCCTGCTCGTTGGCATGCAGACCACTCCGCTAGGGGAGGGCCCGTCAGCTCATGGCGCCTACAGAAATGAACCTGACCTTGTCAACCTGCCCCGGAATATTTCTGGATCCACGCTGTGGCCCCGACAGTGAAATAAGAAGGAAGACTTCCTACAGCCATCCAATTCCAGCAGCTCTTCCCTCACAAAATTTCCCTTTTTCTTTAAATTTTTAAAAAACTGTCCCTGCCGCCCGACCAGCATGGCTCAGGAGTGAGTGTTGACCTATGAACTAGGAGGTCATGGTTTGATTCCTGGTCAGGGCACAGGCCCGGGTTGAGGGCTCGATCCCCAGTAGGGGGTGTGCAGGAGGCAGCCGATCCATGATTCTCTCTCCTCATTGATGTTTCTCTCTCTCTCTCTCTCTCCCTTTCCCTTCCTCTCTGAAATCAATACAATATATATTTAGAAAACTGCCCCTGCTGAGCTCTACTCCTCAAGTTTACTTTCTCATTTAAAGATTGGCATCAATGTCAAGATTCCCACAGCATCGACAGGCTGTAACTGGTATTGATGGTAAGTAAACTCAGCAACCGTTAAATGGCTGTCTACTCCTTTGTCCATGGTCCTATTTAAAGCTATTTGCACCGCTCACTGTGTCTTGAACAGAACACAGAAATTAACCAGGGGATGGCATTTGCGTTAACGTAGTCTGACACGCCGGGAACGGTGCACCGAGGGACAGGCCGCATGGCCGCGGTCGTGGCCAGATGAACCGCTGATGAGCGATCTATCTTGGGAACTTTGTGCAGCTTAGAAAAATAGAAGGTATGTCCAGGAAAAGAGACTCTATAAATTATTAGGTTGGATTAAGTCAGGAAAATAGTTTGTCCGTTTCCGTGTGTGATGAACAGTCGCTAACAAACAAACAAACAACAAAACAAAGGAAAAGAAACAACAGAGAGACAGGTGCACGGGGAACGGCGCTGGCCCCGTCCAGCTGCCCTCCGCGGCCGCAGCGCTCACCCCTCCAGCAGGTTGCACCGCTCCAAGCACTCCTGCTCGCGGCTGACGTTCTGGCAGGCCACGCAGTCCCCGGGCGCGGGGCCCCAGCAGCCCTCGGGTGTCGAGCACAGCCGGTTGCAGACTTGGCCTTGAGCCTCTGGGGAGACAGTGGGCACCGCAGTCAGGGGACGAGTGACCGAGGGACGACTGGGCAGCGCCCCCAGTGAGGTGCCGGGGTCTTCCGCGGACGGACACGCCGGGGCCCTGAAAGAAGCCAGGACCCAGAGCAGCCCCCCAGAGGCCGACTGCAAGGTGCCTTTTCCCTTCGGGGTGCCTAGGGCGCCACACTGGGCCTGGTGGGGTTTGCGGATTAACGTCACAGCGAGGGTGACGTGGGAAGGTGTGCTGTGCTCGCTTCCTTGGGCTAGGGAGGCACCGCGCCCAGGGTCTACACTCGGGATTGCACTTCGTTCTCTCCGGAGCGGGACGCTGTGGCAATCGCCACTGCCCCCATGGCGTGGATGAGGACGCCAGAGCCCAGAGATGGGGAGGAAGTGGACGAAGGCCTCGGTGCCTGGAAGGACCGGGGCCAGGATGTGGAGGCAGGTCTGCTTCCGGCTCTCGGCCACAGGTGCTGCCACTTGCCTGGCTTCACAGGCTGGCGATGGCTCTGATGCAGGTAGGAGACGCCACAGTGAAAGGTTCCTTCCACGGCGTGCACATGGGCGCACATGTTTGTGTGCATGTGTGTGCATGCGTGTGTGTTAGCTAGAGCCATCGGAGACTGAAATGAGCAGGGGGAACTATAGCTAAAATGTAATCTAATCAACACTAGGCTTATTCCTGTGCATTGCAAACAACTGACAGCCCGAATCTCCAGGCCAACGTCTCCTGCGAAAGGAGGATGCGCCAGAAGCGATCCTGCCGGGCGCCAGGTGGCAGCGCCGCCATCAGGAGCACACGGAGCCCCTCTCTGGCTGCGTCAGGGGGAGGAGAGGCCTTCGCGTGCTTGGGGGTGGCCCTGGGGACGTTCTACGTGATCACGCGGAGCAGCGGGCCCGCCCTCCGGCCACGCGCCACTCACTGCAGTCTCTGCTGTCCTTGTTGCCTTGGATCTTGGCTTTCTGACTCGTGGTCCCGAAGAGCTTTCTCCAGTTGATGGTGTCTGCGTAGCACAGGTTGCGGTTCCCCGAGATGATCACGTCCCCGTCACTGATCTCCTTGAGGGAGCGCAGCCCCAGGGACGTGATGTCCAGCCCGACGACGGCGAGAGAGAAGCGGCCGCTGTCGGAGAGAAGGAAACCAACCCCGTGAGCCGCACAAAAACACAGCGTCGCTGAGCAACGCATTTGGGTTTCCTGGGCCCTTTTAGATTCACTGCCCACCCACCCCATGACCATTGGTCCCACTGCGCAAGGTACGTATTGCAACTTGAAATCTGCAAGTGTCCCGGCCGGCGGGGCTCAGTGGCTGAGCGTCAGCCTGTGAGCCAGGAGGTCACGGTTCGATTCCTGGCCAAGGGCACGTGCCGGGGTTGTGGGCTCCATCCCCAGGAGGGGGCGTGCAGGAGGCAGCCGATCCGTGATTCTCTTTCATCATGGGTGTTCCTCTCTCTCCCTCTCCCTCCGCCCTGACATCAATGAAAAACATATTAATAAAAAAAATCTGGCCAAAACCGGTTTGGCTCGGTGGATAGAGCGTCAGCCTGCGGACCGAAGGGTCCCGGGTTCAATTCCGGTCAAGGGCATGTACCTGGGTTGCGGGCACATCCCCAGTGGGAGGTGTGCAGGAGGCAGCTGATTGATGTTTCTCTCTCATCGATGTTTCTGACTATCTCCCTTCCTCTCTGTAAAAAAATCAATAAAATATATGAAAAACAAACAAACACACACAAAAAACTTTATATATATATAAAAAAAAATCTGCAAGTGTTTCCTTGTGAGTCCCTCCAGGGAAAAGCCAGTTTCCTGGCTGCTGAGTCTCTTCAATCCCAGGGGCGAGCCAGGGGCTGAAGGAAGGTCTCAGTGCCATTATTTGCTTGCTGCCTGTTTACTCTGCCTGGGCATTGAGGTGTTCGAGCCTCTCAAACATCCAAATAGACTTCAAAAGCCACAGGTTCATTTCCCATCCATCTACCCAGCCATGCAGCCGCTGGACAAACACGTGAGGTAACCTGTGACTCATTCTATGTAGGCCGTGTGTACATTTCCTACTCTCAGGACGGCGCCCCTTTTTTCTAGTGGGGATACAATCATAGGAGCAGATCGTGTTCCCCAGCACCGTGAGTCTGGTGGTAGTGGGGGCAAGGGCAGGGGCACTGAGCGCGCCTGGGGAAGGCTGCGCAGGGAGGGGGCTTCCCGGAAAAGGTGATGCCCGATGGGGCGGACCTGGGAGCAGGCGCACCCAGCACTGTGCTGGTCCATCAGGGAGATGAAGAGCCCTCAGGGGGTCGGTGAAGGGACTCAGGTGGGAGGGCGGGAAGCCCAGGGCCAGCTGGAGAAGCAGGAAGGCAAGAAGGCGTGTGGCAGGTGCGGAGAGCCACACGCCGCTACAGGGGCAGAAAGGTGGAGGCAGGGAAGCCGGAGAGGGGCCCAGGGAGGGGGCGGGGCTAGAGCACAGGAGACCTGACCCCACAGAGGAGCTCGGGGTGTTGTCTGCGATGACGGGGAACCACAGGAAGGAGGTCTGCACTCCCTGTCCCCACGGCCCGCGAGCGTCCGGAACTTGCAAGCCTTCCTCTGGTCTCCCATCAGCGGTGAACAAGCCGGGCTCCTCCCCGGGGGGTGGGGGGGGGTGGTCCTAGGTTCTCCATTGTTATTGCTTCCACTGACCCTTGACATTCAGTGTTGCTTTGTGTTGGTTTCAGGTGTCTAGCACGTGGTTAGATAATCACATACTTGCAGCACCCGCCTAGCACCACCCACCGTTCATACAACACCATTGACTATATTCCCTGTGCTGCACGTTACGTCCCGCGATCTCTCCCATCACGAGGACACGTCAGCCCTTCTACACAAAGCCTGCGCGGTCGTCCTCCAGCGCGCCCAGGCCGTGACCGGTAAGGAAAGACAGGGACTGAGATAGACACACGTGCTGGGACTAAGGAGACACAGCAACCAAATGCAAGGTGGGTCCTGGCTGGCCTGCCCAGTGGTTAGAGCACGGGCCCATGCACCGAAGGGTCGTGGGTTCGATTCCTAGTCAAGGGTGCGTGCCGAGGTTGTAGGTGCCATCCCTGGCCCGGGTGGGGACGCATGTGAGAGGTAACCAATCGATGTGTCTCTCTCACATTAATGTCTCTCTCTGTCTCCCTCCCTTTTGCTCTCTTAAAAAAAAAATCAATGGAAAAGTATGACTGGGTGAGGATTAACAACAAAAAAAGGCAGGATGAAGACCGGATCAGACGCGGAAACAGAAGGCGTTCACGGAGCAGCCGGCAAGCCCTGAATAAGGTGTCGCTTTGTTAACGGCACGGGGACCATGCTGGCTTCACTCTGACACTAGCACCGCCCGAGAGACACCAGCCCAGGAGAGACTGGGTGGAGGGCAGCAAGTCCCTGCAGCATCGCGGCCATACTTCTGCGCGTCTTATTTCAAAACACACCCGGCAGCTGCCGGGCTCGACACTCACTGCTGCTTGGTCCGGCCCCGGATGATCTCCAGGTTCCGGAAGGCGTGCAGGTCCGTCCTGTTCTCCGGCCAGGCCTGGATCAGCAGGAACCCTGCGGGCGGGCGGGAGGCAGGGCGCTCAGAAACCGCCGTCCCGTCCGAGGTGTGAGGACAGGGTCCCGGAGCCCGCGGGGCGCTGGATCCGCTTCCCCTCGCGTCCGCCCGGAGCTGCACACACGGTGCGGGTGCCGGCCTAGGCTGCCTGCCTCCCCGCAGCCCCCGCCCGGCCCGCCCACCGCGCTGCCCTGAGGGCGCGGCCCCACCTGTGATCTCCTTCACGGTTTTCAGGTTGTCCAGCTCCCTCGGGTCCAGGGGCGGCGTGTGGGTGAAGGTGTCCCTGAAACGAAGAGGACGAAGGTCACTCCTCACCGCTGCCTGCCTGTGGCGGGAGCAGGGCTGCGGCCAGCGGCCCCCACCCCTCCCAGACTCACCCCTCAGAGGCAGCCCCTGCCCCCGACTCACCCCTTGAAGGTGACCCCTTGCCCCCGATTCACCCCTTGAAGTTGACCCCTTGCCCCTGACTCACCCCTTGAAGTTGACCCCTTGCCCCCGACTCACCCCTAGAAGGTGGCCCCCCACCCCCGACTCACCCCTTGAAGGCCACGGGCAGGATGTGCAGGTCCCCGCTGATGGTGGTGCAGTTGCGGAAGTGCCTGATGTTGGTGGCGTTGATGGACAGGGTGTCTCTAAACTCCCCGATCCCTATCCCGTTACACACTGTGGAGAGAGGGACACAAAATCCCGTTCATCCCTGGAGACCTGAGCAGGCAGGGGGCCCAGGGGGAGGGGCGGGGCGGGAGCAAAGCCGTGAGACTGTCACTGCCCAACCAGCGCCGACCTGTGTGGGGCTCCCATTGGTACCCTAACCACACCTCCGCCTTCCCACCACCCTGAGCCGGCTGTGGCCTTGTCTTCCACCTGAGAGAAAACACACACACGGTTTTTTCAATCAAAAAGCAAGATGCAGTCCAGCCAGTGTGGCTCAGTGGTTGAGCATTGACCTATGAAACCAGGAGGTCACGGTTCAATTTCTGGTCAGGGCACATGCCCAGGGTTGTGGGCTCCATCCCCAGTGTGGGGCGTGCAGGAAGCAGCCAATTAATGATTCTCTGTCCTCATTGATGTTTCTATCTCTCTCCCCCTCTCTCTTCCTCTCGGAAATCAATTAAAAAAATAATAAAAAGAAAAGATGAGTGAGTTTGTGCGCAGGGCCTATGGATGCCTCCTGTACAACGATCGCACTTTCGGGGTGTGTGTGTGTGAAAATTTACAGAATAAAAGATACAGTCGGGGGTCAGCAGGGATAGGTTGGCCTGGAGGGTACTCCAGGGACAGGGCACGGAATAAAGGAAGGAAGGGATTGCCGAGCCGGAGAGAGTCACTGGAACCTCTCCCAGTGCCGTCGAGGAGACTGGCGGGGCGGGGGCACCCAGCCCAGGGCCGGGGAAGCCGTGTCCCCACGCCGCGCCCACGCGGGCTCCTACCTTTGCGACAGGGCCCTTCGCACTTCTTGCACTTGCGGACGCCGTCTTCCTCCACCTCGTGGCTGTCGGAGCTGCAGGCCCGCACGCAGGAGCCGTGGTCGGTCACCACGTAGTTCCCTGTGGCGGGGGGAGGGGGAGAGGCAGGTGTGAACGCGGTGCCAGGTGTCTCTGGGGTCAGGTCCTTCTGAATCGCAGCGATGACAGGGCCCATCATCCTCTCATTTTGTTTATTTTAAGGACAAGGAAGGGAAGGCTGCAGACTGAAAAGGAATCGCACTCAAGAGCTTTCATCGCGTCCCAGGCCCTGATGGCAAACAGATCCTCATCCCAGGCGGAGCGGATGTGCGGGAGCAGCAACCCCCAGGCTTAGAGCTCTCTTCCCCGCTCTTTTTTTTTTTTTTTAGGTTTTACCTCCAGGACTTATGATCGAAGCTTGAATCTTCATTAAAAATATGTGAGCCCAGCTGGTGTGGCTCAGAGGTTGAGCGTGGACCTGTGAGCCAGGAGGTCAGGGTTCGATTCCCGGTCAGGACACAGGCTCGGGTTGTGGGCTCGCTCCCCAGTGTGGGGCGCGCAGGAGGCAGCCGATCCATGATTCTCTCTCATCACTGATGTTTCTCTCTCTCTATCCCTCTCCCTTCCTTTCTGAAATCAATAAAAATATATTAAAAAAAATACGCGAGCCTGAACGATGACTCCGCTCCCCTCGACGCGGCCCCGAGGCTGTGTCTACTCCCGGGGCTGGGCCTGCCTGGCGGGAACTCGGGCAGCTGGTCCGGCACCTCCGTCCTCTCCTGGCCCCTCGCCTCACGGTGCACATGGGGCTCGTGTCCACACAGACGTCATTCTCTCCAGGGGCCTCTGCCTGCTTGGGCCCCAAGCCGACCTCACACCCCTCCCCGGGCTGCTCCTCCTCCTGGGACGCGCCTGCCGCGTCTGGGGCTCTGTGCTTCCTCGGGGTCGTCACCCCCTCGCCAGCCCTCTCCCAGGACCATGTCTGCCACATCGGACGGGGACGTCCTCATCCCGTCACTCCCTGCCTGTGGCCATCCCTCCATCCCCCTGTCATTTTCTTCTGCCCAGAAGGTGCACATTCTCATCCCCGCAGCCCGCAGGGCTCTCCCTCTGCCGCTGCTTGTGGACACTTCTCACTCCCTCCCTCTCCCCTGAGAGGTCAAGGCCGGTCCCAAGCGCGTTAACTAGACAACCCTGTGCTTCCGCGATGCGGCCGGGGCTGCTGTCACCACTTCCGAGAGCTGCGGACCAGTCGCTGCATATGCAGATGAGCAACACCCAGCGACAGCAACGAAACAGCAGGCGACAGTCCCCCCAAGGGCCCAGGCCCCCTCTATCCACTGAGCAGAGGCAGCTCTGACACCTGCTGGGGGCTATCATCCCCCCCCCTCCTGGGTGCAGGAGACAAACGGCAAAGCGGCCCAATGGCCGCGGGTTAGGCCCACCAGACAGCTCACTGCCCTGGACCTCAGTTCCAGGGGCTGCCCAACACCCGTGGCACAACCTACCCCGTCACCCGTGGCATGACCTACCCGTCACCCGCGGCACGACCTACCCGTCACCTGTGGCGTGACCTACCCCGTCACCTGTGGCGTGACCTACCCGTCACCTGTGGCATGTACCCCGTCACCCGTGGCATGACCTACCCCATCACCCATGGCACGACCTACCCCGTCACCCGTGGCATGACCTACCCCGTCACCCGCGGCGTGACCTACCCCGTCACCCGCGGCATGGTGGCGTGACCTACCCGTCACCCGCGGCGTGACCTACCCCATTACCCGCGGCGTGACCTACCCGTCACCCGCGGCGTGACCTACCCCGTCACCCGCGGCGTGAGCTACCTGTCACCTGCATTTGAATGGGCCCTGGCCACATGCCTGACAATGAGGCTGAGCCGGGGACTCGGGGTCCCCGTAGGAGGCGCAGGGGAAACGGATGCTGGAGCCTGAAAGGGCGTGGCGGGCGAGGACTCACGGGGACACTTCTTCACACAGGTGGCGCCGAAGCTGTATTTGCCGTCGGGGTTGACGTCCATCTGGTAGGTGGTGGGGTTGTACAGCATGAGCGGCGGGCAGGTGTCCTTGCAGGTGGCGCCGTCCCGGAACCGGCGGCAGACCTGCGAGAGGCATGGACACGGGACATCGGAGCAGCCGCCTCGCTGCCCCGGACCTCGGACCGGGTCAGGTTAAATGGGCGACCACCTTTGGGCCTAAAGGACATTGTTTCCCAGAGCGCTGTGAGCGGGGAGCGGGGAGCAGAGGCGGACAGCGAGGAACAGTGCTAGCGTTCCTGTCACTATGGCAGCTTTCCTGCCAATAGCAAGCCCGCCCTCCTGCTCTGGATGCATAAAACCCACGGCTTGGTCTCCTCCTGGGACACTGGGCTTCTGCCTGAATCAGCGCTTCCCAAATCTCGTTCTCTCTCTCTCTCCCTTTCTCTTTCTCTCCCTTTCTCTTTCTCTCTCACTTTGAAGCCTTTCATTTTTGCCGACCGGCGCAGGTGAGCGGGGCAGGCCGTTGGGTTCTGCCCGGAGGCCTCGGTTATGCTCCGGTGCTCGCTTCGAGCGGACGGCCCAGCACCGGGCGCGGCACAGCCGGAGAGACCTTCCTCTCAGGAGCGTGGCTTTTCTGAAACACGTGTCCCGACTGCGAGCCTTTATGATCGTGGGGAGAGGAGAATGCACATCTCCATTCGTGGGCAGAACGACACAGAGCTCGCACGCTGGGCGGGAACCACGACGGTGTTCTGCTCACACTCCACTCACGCCGGCTGCCTTTACAGAGGGCACTGGCGGGGGCGGTTCAGGGTCCTGCCCGCTGCAGGGGCCCTCGCCTGGCAGCATGCCGCCTGCAAGGACCAGGCCAAACAGGGCGCTCCCTTGTAGCCCCGCCCGCCGTCGCTGACTGCAGGGCTCACACCAGCCTGGGGCTCAGGACTTCCAAGGTGCTCACCCTCGGGGGCAGCTGCATGGGCCCCATCACCCCCCGGGCAACACGGATTTCGTGAGGGCTTCCTGCAATCCCGGGACAGACGGGAGCACCCCAAGACCCCCTGCGTGGGGTGCCGGCAACCTCTGAGCCGGGGTGGGAAGAGCAGAGCCTCGGGGCCCTGGGCCCCTCTAAGTCTCTGTGGCTCACTCTCCTCAACGATAAACCACACGTATTTAGTCCTAGGCGCTCGTTCTATGCCTGGGGCTTCGTGCGAACGCCACATGCTCTATGTCCCGTGGACCATGTAACAGAGAGGCACTCTACCCACCACCGTCAGCCGAGGAGACCGGAGCACAGAGGTCACAGCCGCGGCCCAAAGTCACAGAGGGAGCGGGGAGGCAGGATGATGACAGAGGCTCTGGTCCCAGGAGGGGCGGCGTCCTCGCCCGCTACCACAGATGGTAATCCACACACCGCAGCCACGGAAGCCTCCCACGGGGGCTGGGTGGGGGGCAGTGCCCGGCACCCGCGGGCGGGACCCCGGGAGGCTGGGGGCAGCGGGCCTTACCAGGCAGTCGCTCTCGCGGGGCCCCGTGCAGCCGGCGGCACACTGGTTGTGGCAGCAGTCACTCGGGGACTTGCCCCGGCAGCGGCCGGAGCACTGCTGGGCGCAGATGGTCTTGGTCACTGAAAAGGAGCACAGGTCACGGTGAGCCGGGAGCGGGAGGGGGGAGGCCGCCCCCAGGGACACCCTGGAGCAATCGAACATGGGGGGGCGGGGGAGGGGTGGGAAGTGATCGGGGAGGGGCCTCGTTCAAGCTCCCGGACACCCCCGTTCTGCCAGACTAAACCCAGTTGTGACTGTCTGACGGCGCCCCAGTCTCCCTTATTTTTTTGTTGTTGTTACTCTTCACCCAAGGATAGTTTTCCATGGATTTTTAGAGAGAGTGGGAGAGACAGAGAGAGACACATCGATCGGTTGCCTCCTGCATGCCCCTGACCACAGCTGGGGAGTGAGCCTGCAACTGAGGTACGACGTGCCCTTGACTGGAATCGAACCCAGGACCCTTCAGTGCATGGACTGACACTCTATCTATTAAGCCACACCAGCCAGGGCTTCCTGCTTGCTTTTAATCACTGGGGAGAACTGACCAGGTGAAGTCTAGACCTCTAGAGCTGCTAAGCCAGTGGTTCTCAACCTTCTGGCCCTTTAAATAGTTCCTCATGTTGTGACCCAACCATAAAATTATTTTCGTTGCTACTTCATCACTGTCATGTTGCTACTGTTATGAATTGTCATGTAAATATCTGATATGCAGGATGGTCTAGGCGACCCTATGAAAGGGTCATTTGACCACCAAAGGGGTCGTGACCCACAGGTTGAGAACCGCTGCACTAAGCCATTAGCTACTCGTTGGAACCAAGCTTCCGGTGGCACCAACGCACATGCAAGTGACCGAAAAGACAGCCAGGGAGCTGTGTGGAAGGCTGTAAGAGTCACGTCACGGTCAGACGGTCTGTGAAGGACGGACGGCCAGGAGGTAGGTGACAGGTCCCCAGCCCCCTGGCCATCGGTGCTCCTGCACTCGGAGCCCACAGAAAACCCTCCTGAAAAAGTCGCTCGGACCTCTCGGCAGGTGGGTCCCAGAGCCGGGGGTGGGGGGGTGGGGGGGAGGGCAGGCCGACCAGCCTCCTGTTCCCAGGAAGCTCCGCCGGGCACTGCTCCAGGGGGTGACTGGCGTCGGCGGCTGACTTTCGCTCATTTATGGCCGCCTGGCCCACGTGCCCACAACAGCCGGCACCGGGTTCCCCGCGGGGGGCTGGCAGGATTGGTGTTCACTGGGCTGCTCACGTCTGGCCTTACGACCAAGAGTGACTTTTAGGTCTGGCCGGTGTGGCTCAGTGGTTGAATATCAACCTGTGAACCGGGAGGTCACAGTTCAATTCCTGGTCAGGGCACATGCCTGGGTTGTGGGCTCGATCCCCAGGGTGGGGTGTGCAGGAGGCAGCTGATCAATGATTCTCTTTCATCACTGATATTTCTCTCTCCCTTCCTCTCTGAAATCAGTAAAAACATTTAAAAAATGGCAGAGGCATTACTGAAAACAAAAACAAAAATCCTGGCTTTGGGGCCTTCACACAAGTCCGGGGGGCGGAGGCGGCCGCACATTCGCCCCCCGCCCCCCTCGCTCGGGGACTCACGCTGTTGGCAGTTCTCCTTGCCCGCAGCCCAGCAGCTTCCACTGGGGCAGCTCGGGTCGCACTTCTGGCCTAGGACAGAAACGGGAGAGTTAAACGCCACCTCAGCGGAGGGGCGATGAGAAGAGACGGATGGCGCCTTCCTGGGCCCGGAGCAAAGAGCGGCCTAGACCCGTGGTCGGCAAACCTCGGCTCACGAGCCACATGCGGCTCTTGGGCCCCTTGAGTGTGGCTCTTCCACAAAATACCGACTTCTGCGCATGGGCCACGAAGTTTCAATCGCACTCTACGTGCACGCCCGCACGTGGTATTTTGTGGAAGAGCCACACTCTAGGGGCCACAGAGCCGCATGTGGCTCACGAGCCGCAGTTTGCCGGACACGGGCCTAGACTGGAGGAGTAGCTGCCATGTTTCTGATGCTCTGCTGGCTGGTCTGGCTGGTCTGTGAGCAGGTGACTTAAAAAGGGAAGTAAGACGGCTGCACCTCGCACACCTCCATGTACACCCAGCCTTGACACGGAGGCAGCGTGGGCGCACGCAGGCCCCGGACACTGGGTTCAGTGAGCTCCGGGCCCCGCTTCACGTGGGCTCAGGCAGGAGCAGCCCCAGCATCCCCGCTCTGTTAGGGTCATCTACCCCGGGGGGGCAGGGGGTGGGAGGTGCTGGCTGCAGCCTCCCCTTGCCCCTCCTGAGTGACGGATGGTCAGCCCCGGGGAGGCGGGTTTGTAAGTAAGAGCTCCCGGACTCTTAGCCAGAGAGGGGGGCACAGAGTCCTCTCCACAGGGAGATGTCCACCGTGTGTATCGCTTTGTTCATCATCTACAGCCTCAGCTGTTCCCTCGCCAGCTACAGTCTGGAAACTTTCCAGCTGATCAGTCAGTGCTCGCAGCTGTCACAGGCGACGGCCAAGTACCCCCAGCTGAGAGGGGCCTGCTCTCGTCAGCGGCGCCGTGTTTGGGTCAGCACCTAGGGATCCAAGGACCCCGTGTTCCTGCTGCAGCGAGAGGACCCCACTGGGGTTCCCGCTGCGGCGAGAGCAGGCTGCCCACCGGCTCTGGTCACAGGACGTCGGCCCTGCCGCCATCTGTCCCTGCAAATCACCCCCCCAAGGGCGCAGGTGCCCTGCTCCCCCAGCCAGCATCAGCTTTGTCTCTGGAAGAACTCAGATCTCAGAAGAGCTGGTCACCACGCGACCGTGACCCAGGACACCCGCTCCTGTGACTGACAGTTTTCACAGCCGCCCCCAGGGGCAGAGGGCATGAGTGCGATGCGCGTGCTGCTTAGAGTCAGGGAGGACGGCCAGGCAGCACCCTGAACGCACAGGGCTGCACCCTGTGAGGGGAGGGAGAGGGACCCAGACAGACAGACTGAGGCAGGAGATCCAGACAGACAGACGGAGGCAGAGAGACCGAGAGAGAAGGAACCAGAGAGAAGAAAGAGCCAAAGTAACACACAAATGTCAAGGGTGATCGTCGGTATAGAACTCTCATGTTCTTTTTACTTTTATCTCTACTTTACCTTATTTTTCAAATTTCTATTATAAGCACGCAGCAGGTTTATAAAAGAAAAATACTTAAGTTGAAAATGCTTAAATGCTTCTTTCTTTCTCTCTCCTTCCCTCCCTCCCTCCTTCCTTCCTTTTTGTTAACCCTCACCGGAGGATATTTTCCCATTCATTTTTAGGGAGAGTAGAAGAGAGAGAGAAAGACAGAGAGAACGATCGATGTGAGAGACATATCGATTGGTTGCCTCCTGTATGCGCCCTGGCCAGGACCTGGGCTGGGGAGGAGCCTGCAACCGAGGTACATGCCCTTGGCCAGAATCGAACCCGGGACCCTTCGGTCCGCAGGCTGGCGCTCTATCCACTGAGCCACACCGGCCAGGGCTGAAGGCATCTTCCTGGGACAGAGGAGACAGTGCCGACCCGGGAGCTCACTGCCTGCCTCAGTTCTAGTCTGCCCCGAGCAGCCTCCCGGACGCGGTCCTTTGCGTCCTGCGCTTTAAGGCGAAGGGACCTGCGCCTTAGCCGGCCTCCCCTGTCACCATCCCGGCCCCGCGGCCCAGAGCGGAGGCCGATGCGCCCGGCACACTCACAGCTGCCGGGCGGGTGGCTCTGAAAGTCCAGCGACATGTTGCTCACGAAGCTGCCGTCCACGATGTCGTGCCACTGGATGGTGTCCACGCTGCAGAGGGTGGGGTTGTTGTTGAAGCGCACGGCGCCCTGCAGGATTTCTGCGGGAGAGAGGACGGTGAGCCCCGCGCCGCCCGTCTGCGCCCTCACGCAGTGCGCACGCATTTCTTTCTTTTTATTTTGTTAACCCTCACCCGAGGATATTTTCCCACTGATTATTAGAGAGAGTGGAAGAGAGAGGGAAAGACAGAGAGAAACATCGATGTGAGAGAAACATATCGATTGGTTGCCTCCTGCACATGCCCCGATCAGGGTCTGAGGCCGGGGAGGAGCCTGCAACCAAGGTACATCCTTTGACCGAATCGAACCCGGGACCGTTTGGTCCGCAGGCCGATGCTCTTCCATGCTGCATCCTGCTGGACGGACGCCAGCAAGCCAAGGAGACTCCCCGTGGAATTCCATGGCAGCAGGTGGAGAATGAGTTGAGTGCTGGGGTCCAACCCCAGCAGGTCCAGGGGTCCCCAAAGGTGTGGACAGAGTCGGCGAAGGCTATCCACCCTCTTCCTACGGTGGAGTCCGAGGCCCTGTCCGTGTGGCTCAATGGTTAGATCTGTCATTCAGTAACTGCTACGTTTCATGTCCCTGCCACAGAGTGAGGGCACGATCACTGTTGTCTTCAGTTTTTAAAAAACCAACTTCCCATCTCTCCTATCACCTTCCAGCTTCCTGTCAGAGGACCCTCATGCGTGACCCAGCCACAGAAATTCAGTCCTCCCCCATCACACCTTTGTTCCTCAGCCTGACTTAGACAACGTGACTCAGGAAACTGTCTCAAATATGCGTTGATTTTGTTGTTGTTAATCCTCTTCCGAGGACATTTTTTTTCATTGATTTTTAGAGAGAGTGGAAGGGAGGGAGGGAGGGGAGAGAGAAAGAGAGAGACAAACATTGATGTGAGAGAGACACAGTGATTGGTTGCCTCCTGCACAGATCCCGACTGGGGTGGGGATTAAACCCACAATCCAGGTATGTTCCCTTGACCGGGAATCACACTTGTGACCCCTTGGTGTGCGGGTCCATGCTCTGACCACTGTGCACACCAGCCAGGCACCAGGGGTTGATTTTTAATGCATGTCCCTTACACCTGAGGCCCAGGTCACAAGACTGGCAGCTTATTCGCTCCCTAGGCACAGAAAGTCTGCCACACTCCCTTCTCCCAGAGCCTTCACCATTTCTAACTCTCCGGATGCTTTTCTGTGAACACGGGATAACCTGGCTACATCTCCCTTCTCATTGCACCGTGTACCACCTTTTCACCAGCTGTATCTCGCACATGAGTGGCACGGGATACAAGAGAAAAGCAGTTAGTTGCCTACAAGGGAGTGCCCATTCGACTGTCAGCTGCTTTCTCAACAGAAACTATGCAGGCCAGAAGGGAGTGGCAAGAAATACTCAAAGTGATGAATAGCAAGAACCTACAACCAAGAATGCTCTACCCAGCAAAGCTATCATTCAGAATCGAAGGCCAGATAAAGAGCTTCCCAGACAAGAAAAAGCTAAAGGAGCTCATCACCACCAAACCACTACTCCATGCAATGCTGAAGCGCATCTTTCATAAGAGGAAGAAGAAGGAAAAGGATAAATATCTGAACAACAGAATGGCAACAAATACGTATCTATCAACAATTGAATCTAAAAATCAAAATAAAGGAACAAGAAATCTAATAAAGTAAACTGATGAATAAAGTAGAATCAGAGGCATGGAAGCATGGGACAGACTGATGAATCTCAGAGGGAAAGGGGAGGCGTGTGTGAAGAGATTAACCAAAGAAATTACATGCATATATGCGTTAGCTATGGACACAGACAACAGGGTGGCAAAAGTCTGGAGTGGGGCGGGAACCAGTGGAGAGAGGCAACGGTGGGGGAGTGGGGGGGGGGGGGAGGGAGACATCTGTAATACTCTCAATAATAAAGATTAAAAAACCCACATTTGCTGTGATGAATAAAGCCTTCCCTGAGTGAAATGAGGAAAGGCCAGTTGGGCTGTGTCCCATTTCTGCGCTAGGGCCGTCGGGCCAGCCGCTCACCCTGTAGGTTCCGCATGGGCAGCTCCCGCAGGCCGGTCTTGTTGGCGCCGTAGTTGGACAGGACGGACAAGGCGTGGGTGTTCTCAAAGAGCATGTTCCCCCGGATGATCTGCAGGTTCTCCAGGGGGATCTTCTCCACCACGTTGAGGGCAATGAGGACGTAGCCGGCCACCTCCTGGATGGTCTGAGGAGACAAAGTGTGAAGCTGGCCTATCTCCTTCGAGGAGATCAAGAACGTGAGGTCTAACACGGGCCCAGGGAACCAGGACGCCCCTCCGAACGACGCACACGCGTGGTGACAGCCGTAGAGCATGTGGGTGACTGCACGGAGGGCGTGGCAGGTGACGGGGGCACAGTCATTCCCACTTCGTGCCCCCTGAGCCCGCTGGCGGCAGGAAAGGGCAACATGATTACTCAGCAAAACCGTGACTCGCTTCCCTTGGCCTTCAACACACTCAGGTGAAGATGGGAACGGCTTTATTAATTTATCTTGCATCTACTCTGCCTGCTTGCTCATGAAAAAAAGAAAACAGCCACCCGGAAGGATGCCAATCACACCCAGAGTTCAACTGCTGGCTCCTGCTGGCTCTCTGGAGCCGACTGAGAAACATGGGGACACTTGTGAAATGCGGTTAAACTCTTGGCGTCTGGAAAGCAACCGTGGCGGGAGTGTTTACACCAAGGCAATGGGCAGATGCTACAAAGCAAGGCTTTTCAAAAAGTAAGAGCCAGTTCTCAGGGTGCCACGGCGGAAGCCATGGCGACAAGATACCTCTCGGTGTCTATGATGACCGTGGAGCGCCGGCCAGGCCAGTTCCTCTGGGGCGTCCTTTGGTGACCTGGCACTAGCTGGGAGAGTGGCCTCCTCATGCCACGTGCACCTCACGCTCCCTAGGACTCGGAACTGCCGTGGCTGAAGCCAACACGCGCCCAGGAGAATGCCGCCCAGGCTGTGCCTGCCTCTCTCCACTCCTGTCATGTCTGGGCGAGGCACCGAACTCACGGAACCAACCTTTAGGAAGGACAGGTCGTAGTCCCTCTGCATGTAGGTAATCTCCAAGTTCCCAAGGACCACCTCGCAGTTGTTGAGCATCCGCTGGAGGTTCCGGAAGTGGTCGTCGAACGTGCCCAGCTGGGTGAGCTTGTTGTTGGTGCCCTGGCAAACTAGGGGGGGAAAAAAGGCATCTCATGAAATGCCCAGGAAGGCACACAACTAAAATAAAACCACATTCACAAACGCCAACGGACTCTGTGCTCCGGCGGCTCAGGACGTTAATTCTGATGGAGGCAGACGTGACAGCACAGGGCTAAGCTTTACAAGGAGCAGGTCAGCGGAAGGAAGAGCTCACTCCTACCCGCAGGGACTCGTTCAAACGTGCTCAGAAGTCACGGGGACACAGACGAGATTCTATAAAAACCTCTCGGATGAGACAGTCGGTAGGAACCTCAGCAGGCCAAACAATACGCATCAGAAAGCGTATGAATAATGTAATTACAACGTCGACTGAATAACTGCATCGCGAACTTTTTACTTTGCCAACAGAGAGCACGCCGCCTTCTGTGTGTCAGAGTATTTGCAAACATAACACACACCAGGCGACGTGTGCGGACCACACGGTGGACAGCCGGGAGTGGACGACGAGCGCGTCAAGGAAACCCAGAGGCGGGAGATTTAGGATAGTCTTCTAAGCGAATGCCTCGGAGACTGAACCCCAGGTCTCATTAGATAAGGTTTAGTGAATAACGAAGTGGAAACATACATTCAAAAACCGCCAGTGAGAAACCGACAGCGCTCCGTCAGTCCGCCCTCCCGGGAGCCCCGCCCGCACAGGTGCGCTCCCCGGCCGGCCGGACCGCCTCGGCGCACTCCGCTCCTTCGTGTGCGAAGCTACCAGACTTCAGACCAGAAAACATCTCCCATGAGGGGGAGGCCCGCTCGGTAGTCTGTATTTCAAAGCCAGGGAGAGGATGATAAGAAGTCACATTTACAAGCCCAGCTCTTTAAAGGACACGTTCAGGCAAGCGTAACAGAACAAAGGGGTTCGGGCCTTTGAAGCTGGGAGCTTTGAACCACAATCCCTCTGGGAGTGAAGACACAGGGCCCCTGGCCTCGGAGGGGAGACCAGGACCGGCCGGGGTCGCCCGGGTCTGCAGAGGCAGCACCACCATCGCAGCCAGGGGCTGAGCCCCGAGACGAGGCCAGTCCCCAGGCGGGACCTCCTCGAGGTCACCTCCAAAACCCGCGCTGCTCTTCCTGGGCCTCTGTACGCCGCCATGGGAACTGGCCGCCCAGCATCACGGGGCGTCTGCCCTTGCTCCTCGATGTCAGGGCAGAGAGCACAAGTTCAGACGCCAGCGCTGGGCATGAAGCACCCCCACTCCTCGTTCATCCTGTGGGGGTTCCCCCCTCCCCCGCCCCCCGCCGTGTCTCACCCACACTCTGCGGCAGAGGGAGTCACATGGGAACTCTGATGGCGCCCCAGCGACTGGCTTCCAACCACAGCCTTGGGCGGACCCAACGCGGCCGGCCGCTGCCTTTGCCCAGGAGTCCAGGCCGCTCGCTTTCAGCCTCGACGTGGAACCCTTGAGCACAGTTCGCTGCGAGGCACGGGGACAGGGCCAGACCTACTTCCCAGGGCCAGGTCCTGCGTGAAGGCGCCCCCACGATGTAGGCGCAGGGTTGTGGCGGCGACGCGGGCTCCCGACCGGCACACCTGGAGGCCACCACCGTTCCCCTGGCGACAGGCCGGCCCTCCACCTTTCGGCCTACCTGACTGGCTGCGGGCTAGGTGGCCACAGGTGTTGGCGTGCCCTCGTGCCAGCCAGGTGAACGGTGACGGCGGGAACTTGGGGGGGGCACCCCTCAGGAGTTCTCAGCCACAGAGGGAGGCACATAGCTGCTTCCACCGTAAGCGAGGAAGGACATTCGCTTGTAAGCTTCTCTACTCGGAGCCAAAGGGTGTTTACTGTCACATCGATGGGGCCCCTGGTACACGCGCCACTGAAGTTCAGCCGGTTTTATTCCAGAAATGGACAATGTCAAGAAGACAGCGCTTGTGCTTTCATTCCGCCCTCCTCTCGCTCACCCAGAAAGCGCCCAGTGAGCACCTGGAGAGTTTATGCGATGAGTCTCCATCACGTGGCCTCGTGGTTCAGGGTGAGTCACTTTGATCGTCAGAAACAAAGATCCTCTCTTTGGAAGATGACAGCAGCACTGCTCACTGTCGATGTGAACGTGAATTCATGAAACGTGTTGGGAACCCGCTGGGCAGCGTGTGTGACTGAACCAGTGTGCTTACGTTCCATGTCAGGAGGATCCCACTTCGGAAAACGTATCGGAGGAAAGAGACCCAAATATAGAAGAAAAAAAGAAGCTTCGAGCAAAATGTTGATCGTTATTGATTTGTTTTTTAATAATGCCCCTGCCCCCCGCCCCCGTCGCAAAGAACCCTAGAAGCCAGCTGCCCAACATGTCTGTTCTGGGGGAGAAGAAGGCTGCTGACGTGTACTTGGTTCGGTCTGAGGCAGGCCCACGTGGAACCCGTTCCCCAGGTGAGGACTGAGGTCCCCGCCCGAGGCAATCATGGCCCGGCCCGGCCTCGCCCACGTGCCCACAGGACACAGCGGCAGCCGCGGGAACCCCCGCAGGACCAGAATGACCCGGCCTCGGTCTCTTGATGGAACAAAGTATAATCTTGGTCCACCTTTCCCACCAAATATCTCATGTTATGAAATAACGCAATGGCAACATTTAAATGTGAGGCCACGGAGCCAGTAAACGTATTAAAAAATAAAAATCACAGCCCCGCTGGCAGATTGAAGACAAAACCACAGAGAGCGAGCGCCTGTTGATTCTTGTTCGGCCACTGCCTCATGGTGTGCCCTGCGGCACCGCCGGCAGCTCAGGAGGCGCTTTCCTCCAGTGCAGACCCGGGACACCCCGCCTCCCAGGCTGCCGAGGGGGCGGAACGGCAGGAAAGCTGGGAGCTCCTTCCCTTAGAGGGAACGACTGGGAATGTGCGGGATGTGACACGGGTGCGTCGGACGGACGTGTGCCTGCCCCGGGCGTTGTCTGTTTCATTGGGAGCGACTGGATCTGCAGATAGGCTTAGACAAATGTGGAGTGCTAAGCAGAGTTACTGTGTAGAACCTTCATAAAGAAGAGGAAGAGAGAGAGAGAGAGAGAGAGAGAGAGAGAGAGAGAGAGAGAGAGAGAGATGTTATACTTTAAGAATGTCCTTAGAATATGCATTTAGGACTAGGTATTTAAGCAATGTATCCGAAGAGAGAAGAGATTCAATGACTTCAGTGCTGTATGTTTGACGACTCACAGCGTGTGCCCAGCCTGTGTGCGCTATGCCTGGCTTTAGCCCTCGCAAACCTGAGGGCAGATTCCACTGAGTCAAGAGCAGCAGGACCTACTAAGCACTAGCTTTTCTTCCTCAAATCTGGTGACGAGTCGGAACCGCAGAGAAAAGCTGAAAGGACCGTACCGCGGACATGCTTCCGTTAGCATGTTGCTATGTTCCCCTCGTCATGTATCTACTCATCTTACTTTTTTTTTTAATGTTTTTACTGACTTTCGAGAGAGAGGAAGGGAGAGGGAGAGAAACATCAATGATGAGAGAGAACCATGGACCGGCTGCCTCCTGCACGTCCCGCACTGGGGATCGAGCCCACAACCCCGGCCTGTGCCCTGACCGGGAATCGAACCGTGACCTCCCAGTTCATAGGCCGACGCTCACCCACTGACCACGCCGGCCGGGGCTGTCTTACTTTCGATGCTTTTAAAAGGGGCAGATGTCAGTACGCGTCACCCCGCAGGCCACCGCTTCTGGTTCAGTGGCTGTTTCCTCTGCCCTTGACGGACATGCAGAGGACAGTGTGACCTGAACCCTCTGCAGCGGAGCACCTGGCGAGTTTCCACAAATGCACACGTGCGCACACGCGTGTCACCCACACTCCTCTCACACGAGAGGACACCATCACCCTAGTAAGCCCTGCACGCCCCTCCCGCGGATCCCTGCCCCCCAGCCTTGCGGGCTTTAGGGCTCCGCACTAGCGGGATGGCGCCACGCTGTCCCTGTGGGCGAGGCGCCCTTCGGAGGGCAGCCAGGCTTCTGGGGGTCCCCACGGTGAGGCCTGGCATCTGCTCAGCTCTGAGCGACAGGCTCAGGCAAGGGCTTGTGGGAAACTGGCTGCTGTTATCCTTGGACACGGAGGGCTGGCCCACAGCCTGGCCATGTTTTTTCTCGAGCCCTACACCTTATCTTAACTGAGAATAAAACAAGCTGCCTCCCCGAAGTCTCAAAATGCCCCTCCTGTGTGTGTGTGTGTGTGTGTGTGGGGGGGGGCAGAGCCTGCCCCTCCCCCGTGGCATTAGGGGGTCGGCAGCCCTCTTGGGCCACAAGCCCGGGCAAGACATTCAAACTAGTTTCTTCAAGTTTCCCCCAACCCACTTAGACGCTTGGAAGTGCCTGAGTAACCGTGTAATTGTTTTAATTTGCTGTTTTCTCGACGCCACATTAATGGCTGCCCGGGCGGCTGAGCCCTCTTAAACCTCTCCCTCGGCCTCCTGAGCTGTCTCGGCCCGTTTTCCACAGAGCGCCTCGTTCTGACGCAGAAACCACGTTTCTCTTATTTCTTCCACATTTTCTTCATTTCTCAAATTTTCTACAGTGACCAGATATGACTTTATAATAACAAGTAACTGAGAATACAATGTACAAAAAGCTGCGGTGTACGAGAGAAGAAGGTGGGGATGTTAATAAAATACACTTTTTTAAAGAAAAAAAATGGAGAAGCCACCACGCACACGCACAACTACTGAGATCCTCCAAGTTTTCCGTGATTCACGACAGGAGGCTTTCTGAAACTGCTTTAACAATGAGAAACAATCGGTGAGCAACGCAGAGCCACCTGCAGACCATGTGAGAAGGCAGGCGACGATGCTGTGATTCGTTCCTCGCATTATTTCTCAGAACAGGTGCATATGGTGGCATCGTACGGCGACGGTTTCCAGATCTATACATCTATACATACATTTTTAAACTTCGGAGTACATTTACCCACAGAGAAATGTTATAAAGCACGATTACAGTACCAGACTCGCCTATGAAGATCTGTAATAATGGGAACGTAGGAAAATTACGGCTGACTCACAT